CGACAAACAGACTGCTCGCAAGAAGCTCGAGAACCGACGCCTCGCCTACGACGCCAGCACTGCCAAGATGCAAAAGGCCCGCCGCGATGACTTCCGTGTTGAAGAAGAGGTCCGAACAAACAAGGCCAAGTTCGAAGAGTCCACCGAGGACGTATACCAGCGCATGGTCGACATCAAAGAGGCCGAAGCCGATAACGTCGCTGCCATCACCGACTACCTCGATGCCGAGCTTGATTACTACGAGCGCTGCGCCGAAGAGCTGCGCCGAGCCCGCCAGAACCTGGTGGCTGGCAACAGCGAGTCCGCCCAGTACAGAATGTCCCCGCCTCGCTCCCGTTCCACTCGATGCCCTCCTGCCGTTCGTCGTGTCAGCACTGCCCGCTCATGGCAGGATGAAGAGCCCGCACAAGAGCCTGAGCCACTGTCCGCTCGCATGCGAAACGTCTCCCCCGGCACTCGTGCTGCTCCACCCCCTCCTCCCCAATCAACACGACCTGCAATGGGCCGATCCATCACAGAGGGACGAGCTACACAGCGATCGGGCGGTGCTCCACCCCCTCTCCCCCTCAGCCGCGTGCGAACAGACGGCCTGGCATACGGAAACCGTACAGATGATATCTTTGATGACCGCTCGGCCTCCAGCGGAAGCGGCAGCCCAGACTATCCTGAACGAACATTGACGCCAGCGACTTCTTACGGCAGCCTTACCCGTACTATTAGTGCATCGGCCGTTAAGAAGGCGCCCCCTCCTCCTCCACCCGTTAACCGGGCCAAGAAACCAGCTCCACCACCAGTTCCTACGCGGAGGGACCTGAGATACTGATGGCATTGTTTGATTTTTATTGCTTGGGTCATGGGATAGGAATCCCTTATCGGTCTGGCGTTTCTCGGAGTTTGTGAGATGGGCTTATACATGTTTTTATACCGACTCAGAGTCTATCCTTTTCACTTTTACCCGCCTCATTACCTTATGTGGGAGATTTACCGCAGTATTTTTTATGTTGAGGCACCACAACGGATCATCTGGATAATCTTGGGAAGGCTGTTGTCTTTTATTTTAGCCACCACACTGGGCCACGGCTCCAGTTATCAAAATTCAGACCGCGAACGCATGCGTCAATGGAACAAACTGTAACACCCCGCCCCAGGTGATTTAACTGACAGTAGCCAATGACTTCTGATGCATGCTCGGAAAATTGAAAATGTAGGGTAAGACGAGTATCGAACAACTAAAGCTCGGCTCATTAGCCTGGCAGAGCCTAGTTTAAATCGCTGCATCCTTCATTCTTGCAATAGTGGCCAGTTTTTGTAGCACATATAGCCACAAACCGTGAAAGGTTATTACAAACCACATAATCATTTCCTTAATGCGATCCTCAATGTGAGGGGACCTGTCCTGGTAACGTAAATTATTTGGTAGACATCCGCAAAAACTTACCTACCCTATAGGTCAGATATCTTCAACGTACTTCCTGGAAGATACTGTCCTCGTTGACTACTACTGGAAGATCGATTTGTAATTTTAGATCAGAGAGAGTTTGAGAAGACACTGATAAAAGCGCTAATGAGATTTACACACGCAGCTGGCACCAACTGGCTATATCACAGTTGCGCCCTCATTGGCAACCATTTCGTTAAGCTCCTTGTGATGAGATGAGAGTCTTGTTGCAAAGGCTTCAGAAGCAAAAAAAAAAGAAAAAGACGAGGAAAGCTTCGCTTTTAATGGAGAAGTGAGGGGTCTCTTTCTTCTTTGTGGCAGACGTTTGCTGGAGTTAAGACTTAGCATAACATGGGACAATTGTCCTTTTGCAGGAATGTTTGATGATCTGTTCATACCTGAATGTATAATATGTGGAAGAGCTATCTAACCAACCAAGCTAGAGTCTATTTAAAATACGCAAGAGTTCCTCTCTCGAGGCTATTGCTGGTCACTACACTGCTTCCCATCGATGCGACTAAGAACGCGTTCTACAACCAATGCCTATGTTAGCATCCAGGCAGGCAAACATATGGAATCGTACGAGGAGAAGCAAAAAATACCCATACGCTATTTGGTCACTATAAGGCAGCATGGCCTCTGAAGCGTCCTGGGTCGGCTCCTGTTACAAATGCTCACGGTGAAGAAGACGCTGCTACTCTAGGTGTAGCCTTTCACGATGGCAGTGTAATTTAGTGCAGTCTGCCTTTATTTACTACGGATCTTTTGTGTAAGCTCTCCAATCTGCACTATAGTACAAAACGTTACAAGCCAGAGCAGCAAGAGAAAAATGGGGGGGTTTTCTGGGTCGACTTATCTCTGTTGGCATCTGCGGGCTCTCGCTCCCCTCCGTCGTATCACTATTTCGCGAAATCTCCGAGGTGTTTCAACCACTAACAGAGGGCACGGGTCCTAAAGTAGTATCAGAAATGCTATTAGTGTCTCTGTCCTCAAGGGCGTAGCTGATGCTCTTACTGAATTGGTTCAAATATAGCCAGCTTGGTGTTTGCGTCGTATTTGGCAAGGGCCTTAGGACAAGTATCAGAGACAGATGGCAGGAGAGCCCCCCAAAAGTACTAATTGAAGTGCCGAGTAGAAGGAGATTTCGGCCAGTGCTTCCCGCCAGCTTTCATAGATCTGGAGCAACACGCAGGCTCAAAAATGAAGTTGATAGAATGCACCCAGGTCTATGATCTGTCCACTCTTTTATCATTCAACAGCATAGCCAAGCATAGGTGGTGTCAATCTCAGATTGGGATATCATCACGACTATGATCCAACACTTAAAGAGCTTGAGAAGGACAATACCCGTCGTTTCTCCTCTCGCTCTCTCACCCTATCGTATTACTTTCCTTAGTATGCCATGCTACATGCCGGAAATAGCCCTATCTACTTCTATATCTGAGCCCCAAATATGCCTGATGATGCAGAAATCATAGCGTTACTTGGGTCTCGAACAAAGGCCTCGAGGCAGCGAAACTTCGAATTAGCAGTTCCCGCCGAAGTGCCCTTGCAAGCCACAGAACATAAACCAGAGAACGCAGCAGATGCCAAGTCTCCACCTTCACAACTCATGGTACTCATTTGTCCATTCAATGGCAACCATGGGGGCCATCTAACTTCTCGCCGCCTGCTTGAAGTTAACGATACCCCTCACATCGCGAATTTGCATCTTAGCAGTTCTGATCCGTAAGGAGTAATATATTGAAGAGTACATGTGTCACTAGGCCATAGCTGGGAGCTATGACTCAACAACAATCAATTAGAGCTCTGGGAGCCGGAAGAAGGCCAATGAAAAGACCTCTATCAGTATAAGGTTGAACCACTCGGGATAAAGTCAAGAAGGGGCTACTGAATGCAATGATCTTGCTAAAGGCAACATGGAGGCGGCCGATGCTGCCAGGCCAGAGACTGGATTTCCAATCAACGGATAGTGTTGCGAAAGGTTGTCTACGGAAGAGGGCAACTTTCCAAACCAGCGCTACGAATATAATGGCCGAGATCCTCGATGTTCAGTGCCACCCGCTCTTATGCTGAGCTAGGATACAGATAGCGCCGGCTTGTAATAGGAACAACCAGCATGCGATGGTGGGGAAACAACAAAAAGAGGCGGGAAAGGCTGTTGGCAACACACAGCCGACGGCTAATTAGGAAGAACACGATCATGTCATGACCACACACCTCTTGAAGTCCAGAGAAAGGACTACCATCTGGATAGAAGCTGATACTAGTTTGAGGCTTACAAGAGGAGCAATAACGCTAGAATGGTAGTGACCCTGTGACGTGTCAGGTTCCAGCTATGGCCGTTAATACGTCTTGATAATAGTTTTAGGGCTTTCCTGGCTTGTTCTTGAATAGTATGAGAAGCAATTGATGGAGAGATAGAGGAGTTGCTGTGTGATATAGTTTGGTTTATTTACCTATGACCTAACACGAAGCTCCTTGTTGACGATGATGTCACTGTCTTGATTAAAGAGCATTGACATGCAACCACATTCCAGATATTCTAAAAAAAGCACACACACACGTGGCAAATGCGAGGTGGCTAAGAGAGCTTTTGACCTTGAGCTAGACTTGGACTACAATTGTCGACGGCTAGGTTATGCCTCCCTTCGAAGTTTGGGCTATATGCACATTTACTGTTCCCCAAAAGCCCCTAATGGAATTCAACAAATCCTTGACACGATGGGAGCTATGCGATGAAAGTTGTCGCTGATGACTCGCAAAGCCCGGGACGTGGCAGGCAACACAAGGCATCCATCTACATTCCAAGCCGACGACGAAGGCCTGCCGGTCCCCAGAGATGAAACCTGCTCCTTACTACTGGCATGAAGGGATCAATAATCCTCGTACAAGAAGACAGGCATGCATAACGCCCTCTCCGCTTTTAGCCAGCCGCGGCCCGGCCCATGCCTTTGATTCTCGAATTCCTCCCCCTCACCAGGGCGAGCTCCGACACAGGGAGTGCTCGCCAATGTCTCGCATCACCAGCTGCCGCCGGCGCCCGGTGTTCCCCTTCCAGTCCGACTTGTTTGCGCGCCACCGGTGCGACAGTGAAGGGGTTCGCAATCGCCAGAACCAGCAGGGGTCCTCGTTCGTATACAGCCCCAGCGCGTGGAAGCTGACCGATTGTGCCATCGTTTGCGAGGAAAGGGTGATACGAGGGCCGCGGGCCAATTGCGCGCTGGCTTGGCGGGGACTTGGCAAACCATACGAGGGGGTCCACGATACCCCGAGGAAATTGGGCTGGCTCGGCTAGCAGCGATATCACGTTGTTGGAAGAGATTTAGGTTGGGGGAGCTTGTTGACCAGGGTGGTGGACTGAATGAATGTGACATTAATTCAAGGTTTGCCATGAGACTTCGTGAATAAACCAGTTATTACAGTGTAGAATACTCAAGAACGCCGGAGGGGCGACAAAAAAGACAGAAACATGACCCCTCCATCTTCCCTTTTCTTTGCGCCATGATGTGTAGTAGAAAAGCAAAAATAGCAAATAGCAAGAATTGGAGCCCAGCTCCGCCTAGGGCAAGCCAGTGTACGTGTCGTGAACACTGATGATGCCCTTTCTGTACATGTCCAGGGTCATGGGGTAGACGGCGCGGGCGTAGTTGCTCCGGCGCTCGAGGACGTAGCGCGGGGAGATGTGCTCGAGGCCGAACGAGTCGAAGACGTCGGTGTGTGGGCGGAAGGCGTGGAGCGTGTAGGACTTTGTCCACAGCCACTCCTTGGCCCATTCAGGCCCCTTGTAGGAGTCGGCAGCGTTCCACATGGTGTGGTCGACGTCCTGCTCGGCGGCGAAGTCGGGGAGCGGGTCGCCGTCGTTGAAGCTGGTGAGGTTGTTGGTGAAGGTGCCGTCGTCGAGGTCGTAGTTGCGGAAGAGGCCCCGCTTGCCCTTGTCGCCGTCGCTCCACTCGACGGGGTGGAAGGAGCCCTGGTTGACGACGAGGAGCTCGCTGTCGACGCCCTCGAGGTGGTCGCGGATCTTGGAGCAGACGCCGTTGGCGTGCTGGACGTAGCTGCCGTCGAAGGCCGCGTTCATGCCCTCGACCCATTGCTTGATCATCTGGGATCGCGGGGCTGTGAGCAGGACTCCCAGGTTGACGGCGCCGCCGGCCTCGATGCCCACGACGGCCTTGTAGCCGGAGTGGCGGAGGGGTGCGATGTCGCGGAGAGCGTGCTTGGGGAGCGGGTTAGTCTGAGCGGGCTTGTTTTGGGGGAGGCGAAGCCACTTACAACATCGAAGTCAATATAGTAGCCGCCAATGTCGTTCAGGACCTTGGCGCGGACGAAGTCGGTCTGGGCCTCCATACGCTGGATGGTCAAGCCATTGCCAGCCGTCTCCTGCAGCTCGATGTTGTGGATGATCAGATTGGGGTGGTTGAGAATAAGTTGCGTCCACTTGCCCGACTCGCCAGCGCGGCCGCGGTCGAGAGCCTCCTTGTCTGCATTGGTGTGGAGGTAGACCCGGTCGGGGTGCCAATGGTGCTGGGCGCCATAGAGGGACAGATAGTCCTTGAAGTGGAAGTTGAAGCTGGACTTGGGGTCCTTGAGGGCGTATATTAGGTGGAGGTAGTTGGGGATGAGGGCGCCGTCGGATTCCTTGGTGGCGTCGATGGTGATGAAGGTGTTGTTCTCCTTGGAGTGGTGCGAGCCCGGGTAGTGGATGCTGGCAAGATCTATTCTGTCGCCGTATGAGTAGAGGATGACCCAGAACAGGACAAAGGACGTGAGAGCGAGGAGGATGTAGCGCCTGTGTGTGGCTATAGCACCCGTGATGCTCATGGGGTGCTTGGTCAACATGGTGGCGGTGGGCAAAGACGGGACGGGCAAAAGAAGGAGAGGTGAAGATAAAAAAAGAAGCTCGAGGTCAAAAACGCGGAAAGAATGTCAATATTGGACGGGCGAGTACAAGCAACACCGCGCCACACCCGGTTAACGAAAGACAATGCTGACGAGACCAAAGAGTGACTGGCCCGAGAAGGGATAATGGGCACGGGGGAGGACAAGGACGTAGGTATATCAGGCAGAGTGCCCTGGCCGGGGTGAAAGGAGTGACTGGGCAAGAAATGCAAAAAGGGAGAGACCGGTAGGCAAGGCGCGGGCCAAGGAAGAAAGGAGTTATGCGGTGGGACAAGGTCGAGTGAGGACGAAGTGAGAGGAGTACATACAACAAGCTACACGGAGGCAGCGGCTGGAGACGAATCGCGTTCAGAGCGGAAAGGCAGATGCGAGAGAGGGGCAATACGGGCAGCTCAATGCCACGGCCCAATCAGTCGGTCAGTGAAAACCGGGATGGCAAGATGCGGGCTTTACCTGTGCTGGCCTGGCTCGGCTGGGCGTGGGCAAGGGCGTGGTGTTTACGATGGAAGAAGAGAGATGGCCTGTTGGGGCAGATTAGGGTTGTGGTCAACGGCATTGCAGCGATCGCAAAGTACACCCAAAGTACCGCTCAATTAGCAGCAGATGGGGGAAAAGCGGGGAGCGATTGCCCTGATTTGGCGCCGGTGGAACAAATCTTGGGCTACGAGCGCGCTAAAGGGCAGTGCGCCGAGTCGGTGGGACAGGCCCCTCAGGCAAGACACGCCCCCAGAAGGAACGACAACACAGCTGGAGTCGCCTGGAGATGGGCTGTGGCGGGTGCCGGAGATGAGAGTGCTGCTGCAGGTGCCCGTGGAGGCCCATCCTTCAGGTTTGCCAAGTGCCTCCTCTGCTCGCAACACCGCTGGCACTCTTGCATTGGCAGCAAATATAGGAACTTCGCTCTCGCGTGCGGCCGGCATTGCTTGGCGCGGGCCAAGACGTCGGGTCAGAAGTGAGCAGGGACCAAGGCTGAGCTTGGGCTGAGTGTGGGCCGGCAGGGATCGCCCGTCCTGCACCACCTCATATATTGGCTGCTACTATTGTCTAGCGAGCAACTAGCCATTCACTTGATTTGACTGCAATGCTTTAGCTGCCGGCCTCGTCATCTATCGTTTCGCCATGGCCAGCAGATGCTGCCGCCACTCCACCGACATTGGCAATAAACGGCCGGCTACATGGCAGTGCATTGTTGAAACACGCAATAGTGCCTGCTTGCTTTTTTTCAAAGTCGCTGAGACGGTGGCTTGCGAGCCGTGTTCCAGCTGTGCGCCACTCATATCAATTATCCCAGCCCCAGCTGCAGGTCGGATAAGCTGTCGGAAGAGGACTGAGATTTTGGTGACACCCCCCACCTCTTCCTATTAGCCTCTGAGATAAGGGGCTCATCGCCATTAACCGTTGCGTCGTCTTGTTTTGCTAGCTTAGGCAAATGCCAAGTGTCTCGCGTCCTCGGGCGCTTCCTACTTGGCTCCTCGCCACATGCATAGTACCTCGTTTTCCATGGTCACGAGCAACGGACTCTTCGTATCGTTATATCGTTCCCGCTGCCGGCCTTGCTCGTGGTGTGAGCTACCCGTCCCGACTATACCTAAGTAGTAGTGCAGGCGACAGGGGCTAATCGGGAATGCCACCTCGACATATATCGTGGTGGTGATTGGCCCGTCTCAAGGTCAGCACAAGCCCACCTTGATTTCCTGTTAGAGGCGGCGATGAACAATGACTTCCTTGCCCATTGATGATGCTGGTCAAGTCGGATAATAATCCAAGACCAGATCAGCATCTTCGAAGGGAAGCTGTTTCAACACCGTTGATGAGCGCTGCAGCTTCCCCCACCACCTCATTATCTCTGCCCACCTATCCTCTTGGCAAGTGCTAATAGTAGAATATTAGCACTCGCAGGGCAATTCGTCTGCCAAAAAGATCCTCCCACCGCATGGCTACCCTGCACTCCCGCTAGAGCCTCTCGCTCCCTCCATATATCTGAAGCATCCTCCCTCGCTCGCTGTGCTGTAATGATTCAGAGTGGGAGCGCGCTATGCAACATGGCACATCTAAATCACACCATGTACATCGGAAACTTGGTTGAGCCCAAACCTACCTTTTCCCGGCGTCTATTGTTGTTTGATTTTAATTAGTCAACTCCACCAAACAGATGCTCCTGCACTGAGAACAAGGGATCAACCAAAGATCCATTTGCTCCCTGCTATCCGAAATACATCTGTTGGAACCTTACCCAAAGATAACACCAGACGTGTCTGCCAAGTGCCAAGCTGCTGGCGTACCACTTCCAAAAGTCCAAAATTCTCGCACGCGACCCCTGATCACAATTCCCAATCCTGCTTCAGAATTCCGAGCTGGCCTTATGTCCGTGCCTGACCCGAAGCTGACGTTTCTTACCAATCCTACGTGCCAAAGACGTCGTCATAGCCCACATTCACATTCTAATATTTTGCGCAATACGTATCCCCAATCGAATAGCTGGGCGTCCTAACGTTCCAACGGCCTCTAATTCAGCCTAAGCTGGCTTTCGCCTGCCACGACCCTAATTACCTTACTTAAGATAGCGCAAATTCCAACATCCCAGGCCACTGTGTCCATACCTCAAAGAGAGTCCATATCTTTGGATTGCAGTAGATACCCGGGAGTACGAGCCACATGGTCAGCCCTATGTCTCAATTACGAGGAGGCGCATTCACACAAGATGCTACCCAACATCCGGCAAGGAGGCGCCTACCAGAGTCTCGCCCTAGAGCCATCCAGGCCCCTATTTGCGATCCCTGGAATGCATCAGATCCCCTAATCCTCATGGCCAAGAAGCTCCGGCAGGCTCCTCATTAGGGACCAAGTAGGAATTTTGGTTACTGTTAGCTTCGACGTTAGTGGCTGTAGCTCTCTTGGAAGGCGGGTCATCATAATCATTGGAACCTCTGCACTGCCGTGCCGACATTAGTGTTTGGCGGGGCGAACACTAAATTCCATCTCTCCGTGAGCCATGCGGCAAATAAGACCTTTGCAGCAGTTCAATCCGTGTGTGCAGTAATCAGTCAGCAATGGGAACTGTCATGGTGGACCCTCAACAGGGCTCGCGGCATGGGACCCCTACGGAATGGACGAGATAGGTAAGTAATCGTGGTATTGGATCTGACGTGGAGCAGGGCAAGATTGGCCTTCTGTTATCTTGAACGGACCCAAATCGCCAAACAATCAGTCTCTTCAAGGCTGAGTACCTGTAGGATATGGGAATTGGATGAAAGCCCTGATTAAAGGAGCCTTCTTAGGGAGGCCTACCAGAGTTTCAGCCACCGGCAGGCACAGGGCTCAATCCGCGAACATTTCAGCTGGTCTGCAGCCACCTAATGCGGGTTCGCCAAGCTAAGAGACTTACTTGTAGGTAAGGACCAAACATGATTATTTGGACGCTATTCTCGTGGCCGGATCTTTAAGCCAGGTACCCATCCCGATTGCACACCTCTCGATCGGCACCCCTTGCGCTTGAGCCTGCAGCTAAACCCTCTGTGACCTAGAGTGGCCGCCACGGAACCTCACCAGAGGGAGGTACTTGATCGGGTACATCCACAGCGACTCCTGTAGCTCAGGAGGGACCTTGATTTCGGTGCTATTTTCCTTCATTTCTAGCAGCGGCCCTGCGGTGTCTTCGACACGACTCTGGCTCTTGTCTTGCTTTCACACGCGGGCCTACCCCTGGGCGGTACATCATAAGCTCGATACACTGGCCGCAGGCTAAGCGTCTTCTTTCCTTGCCGCTGCTTGCTGACTTCCTCCTCCTTCATCAACTCCGCGGGGTCCCAGTCATTCTCTCCTCTGGGCCATCACATCCCAGGCTCCGCTACCACCATGAGTTCCAAACCGACGACGCCCTCATTTTTGTCGGCAGCGGGCAACTCGCGCCACGCTCGCTACTTCGCATTTGCTTTCTTCGGCATCGCGCTGCTCATTTCCCTTCACATCTTCGGCCCCAGCATCGGCAACTTATCCTTACATCGTGGCCAGGAGCCAGACGCGGCAGTGCCGAGCGACGTGCCCATCCCCGAGCCTCAGGTCGAGCGCAACTACAGCATCCCAAACCACCTACACCTGCTGTACGCCCTCAAGGATGATACGTCCAACTTCAACTTCCAGTTCAAGAACTACCTCTGCCTATACGGAGCCGTCAAGGTTTGGGAGCCCGAGAAGATCTACTTCCACACCAACGCCGGCCCCGAGGCCATTGATCGGGCTCGATCCGGCGCTGGAGGCAAATGGAGTCAATTAATCATGAACCACCCGGGCCTCATTATCAATCATGTTGAGCTACAGACGAACGCCGGCAACGGCATGGAGATTACCGGCATGGAGGCCCGGTCCGATTTTGCCAGAGCCAAGGTCCTCCAGGAGTATGGTGGCTATTATATCGATTTCGATGTGGTGAGTCTCCCATCCTTGACATCCCGCCTTCCGTCGCACTGGATCTAACGCAGTCTGCAGCACGCCCTCCGTGATATCAGGCCGCTGCTCAAGTCCGGATACAAGGCCATCATTGGCATCGAGTTCGGCGGCCTCATCAACCTCGGCGTGGTCTTCACCGCCGCGCGCTCCCTCTTCATCGATCAATGGGTCACCGGCATGAACGCCGCCTTCGACGGCGGCTACGTCACCCACTCCAACCACGTGGGCACCAAGATCCGCCAGCACCTCGAGGGCCAGGGCAACGAGCTGCTCGTCGTGTCCCAGACCACCTTCCACCCCGTCGACTGGACCAACGAGGGCCGCCACGAGCTCTGGGTCAACCACGACTTCGACGACGGCACCTTCACCAACAACCTCGAGAACCACCGGGACGGCGACCCGCTCCCCAGCTTCGAGCACGAGTACCGCGAGCTCGAGCAGTACCGGTGGGACGCGCCGGGACAGGAGTACATCAGGCCCGAGTGGTCCAACTGGAACTGGCGCCGGTCGTACATGGTCCACGCCTTCCGCAACCACGGCGCGCACAACTACGAGCACATCTCGCCCCGGTACGTGCTCGAACGCCGGAGCGAGTACGCACGCATGGTGTATCCTTGGGTGTGGGAGCTGTACCGCGACGGCATCGTCAGCATCCACGACGACTATATGGGGAAAGTTGCAGCGTGATATTTCATGGGCTTTTGTTTGGTTGGCCTTTTCTGTACATTAATGGGTCTTTGGGTTTTTGAATACTTTCTAGGATAAGAGGAAAATACATTATTAATGAATCACGCATCAATTCACCATTCTACATCAGTTATATGAATATTTTCAATGGAGTCTTTGGCTCAGCCATACGCTGTAGAGAGCACATGGTTCGTGTAACTACTTTACTCGATTGTTTGCAAATCGTGTCGAACTGTTAGATTGATTAATCTGATATTGGCAATTCCTCACCCAGCGAATAGAAAAGCGCTTCCATACCTACTCCTTGAGCAAAATACCTCGCGGCCCCCTCTTTTGTATCGTGATAATTAAAAAAGGCAGGCAGGCAGGGATATCCGCTTGAACTTCTCACAAGTAATCCAGGTGATCCTCGCGCATGGGTCAGACGGAGGCAGGTTAATCTTGCTTCCTGGGATGGGGTGAATAATGGCTTGGCGCTGGAGAGCTGCAGCACAGGCGTGAGGGTTAACAGACATTCCATTCATCGTTTCCATATGAACCTTGCTATTCCATTGGTTGAGAAGAAATACTAGACTAAGCCTTCAATTGTTCTTCGTATGGCAGCATTGAGGCAGCATTGAAATATCCTGTAGCGTGATGTTACACAGAGCTAAGTCTTCTCAAATCTAGCGCTGTGGTTTCTCCTACACCCCAGGCACCTGAGTTAAGCCATTTCCGAGTCTTTTTCTTCAATACCAAGTCTCTATTCTCCGAGAGGAATGAGCAATGGATGTTCCAATTCAAGCTCGACTGGGAGAGGCCAATTTATACAGTGATAACGCACAGATAACACTGTGGCGATAAGCGCTGTAGGGTAGCAGAGCTTCTCCAGGCAGCTATTAACAAAAAACAGCATTTACCCCTTCCCACCCTGCGATTTGCAATACGACCACCGCCACCGCATCTATTTGTCGACTACGTTCTTTAAACCACGATGGCGACCGAAGACGAGCGTTACAGGCAGTCGAGCCAATACCGGCTGTGGTCCTTCACCAGAGCCGGCCTCCAGGACCTGCGAGCGAAGACAAACTCCTTGGCGAAGCAGCAGATCGCGCCTCGCCTCACCGCGAGCCCTCCCCCCGAGTTCCTCACTGCCGAGGAGGAGATACGGCTCGTGCGATTCCACACCATCGAGCTGATCCAGGCCGCCCAGTTTTGCGAGCTGCCCACCGAGATTCGATCCACCGCCGCCGTCTTCTTCCGCCGATTCTATGTCACCAACTCCGTCATGACCTACCCCCCGACCGAGCTGCTGAAAACATCCCTCTTCTTTGGATGCAAGGCGGAGGGATACTACATCCGCCTGAGCAGGTTGTCGGAGAAGCTGTCGGGCACGACCAGCGAGCAGATCCTGGCCGGGGAGTTCCTCCTGTGCCAGGGCGTGCGCTTCGCCTTTGACGTGCGCCACCCGCTGAGGGCGCTGGACGGGGCAATCCTGGAGCTGCAGCAGCGGCTCCCTAATGAGCAGTCCCGGATCAACAAGGCGCACGTGCGGGCGAGGGAGGTGCTCAAGTTCAGCGCGCTGCTGACGGATGTCTACTTCCACTACACCCCGAGCCAGATCATGATGGCGGCGCTACAGATGGTCGACAAGACCTTGGTGGACGTCCTCGTGCCTGCGCCACATTCGGGTGCCGGGGATGGTGCGGCTGGGGAGATGCACAAGAAAATCATGGAAGCCATTGCCAGCTGCCGTGTCATGCTAGAGGAGGAGCCGCCGGAGAGAATGTCTAACTACTGGGAAACGGTAAGGATATGCATAGGATTCCTGTGGCTTGGTCCGTTGGGATTTGCTAGCTAACTTGTTTTTTCCCCCTCCAGCCCGAGACGATCAAGTCCATGAAGCCACTGCGAAAGAAGCTGCAGAGATGCCGTGATCCCGATCGTGTCGATCTTGTGGCGCTGCAGAAGGCTCGCCGCGAGCAGGCGCTGAACAAGGAGAAGAAGCCTGCTGGGTTGGCCGAGGGGGAGCTCTTTGGCGAGGCGATCTCGAGGGAGGTCAAGAGACGCAAGGTGGATACCGCTGACGACGTGTTTGGCCCGCCTATGCCATTATGATGCGGGATGGTGAATGTGCTCCCCAATGGTTTCAGGCGTTCTGTTTGGATCAACGGGCCAGAGCCAAGGATGGCGACATATCGTCTCTGACTTGGCGCTGCAGCGGCCGGCGACACATGTATGCAATCCAAGGAAACAGTGTTTGCACTACCACCTGGTGAGACGGATTGATACGTCGGTCAATGGGGGCTGGTAATAGTGCGATGTAGCTGCGGCATGGCATTGCGCGTCTTGCAGAGTCGATGACGATGACTTTTCGTGGATGGGAGGCCGGGGCCCCGATTGAGAACACCCCCGCCTCGGTGCGTCGACCACTTGAAACCGATTCAATGTGCTGATCGCTGAATTTCCCAGCTAGTAGCGCCAAGCTATTCAGATGTGTGAATGTTATTCGATCTGAGGGGAATAGCTTTTCCCCATGCTCCTTGGCTCCATCCCCCATCAGTCAGGGATGGTATTGTGTAGCCTTGACCCACTCGCCCCAGCTTTTGCTTGGCTCTTCTTTCGACCTACCTGACCGATGTTCTTCGGCCTCAGGCATGGACGGGTACTCATACATGCTGGGGGGAAAAAGGAATTGAAAGGTTGTCTGTCTCTTGGGACTCTTGGGACTGAGGCTTCTTGTGACGTTGGCGGATAGATACACTGCGCATTGGGCTTATGGCAGTTGGATTGATACTTCTCTGGGGAGCAAGGCGCGGCAGTGATCAGGGTACCACAGGTCTCAGACCACCCTGACATGGTGCGGTCATCGACGCTGGCTAGTACGTGATGGAATCGTCTTACTGGTCTAGGCGGCCAACATCGGATATAGACCAAGGCTTGTTACCGAAATCAGGATTTAGCAACCCATTCGTGAACGTAAGCCAAGCTTCCAGATGCAATGCCCGCAGCTGATCACCTTGGCTCTCGTGCTTGGGGCCATGGCGACGGACCAGGGGTAGTCTATGCTCTTCTCTCTTAAATGCCCGGCCATTTCCACGTCTCTGATGGTGAAGTGCTTGTGTAAGACAGACTCAGCTCGACCTACAGTACCACAGTAAAACTCCACCGCTTCTCTCGAAACCATGGTCAGCCCCATCGTAGGTCTCGTTTCGCTGCTGGCCGCCTTCGGCCTCCAGCCGGCAGCGGCCCAGAACAACCAACCCAACCTGACCCAGGCACTGCAATCTGCTAATAGCTCACTGTCTACGCTGACTGGTATGTGTGTTCAATTGAGGTTTCGTAAAGAGTATATCTAACACATGCATCAGGTCTGATTGCCACGCAAAACGGCACACTCGAGCTGCTCAACAGCCTCACTGACATCACCATCCTCGCGCCGAACAATGATGCCCTCAAAACCTTTTTGGGCAACACGTCCGTGAGCGATATCAGTCCCGAGCAGATTGGAGCGATCCTCTCGTACCACGTGCTCAACGGCACCTACTACTCGGACAATGTCACCGACACGCCGTCCTTCCTCCCAACACTGCTGAACGCCACGGAGTTCACCAACGTCACGGGCGGCCAGGTTGTCGAGGCTATCAAGACCGACAACAATGTCACCTTCTTGAGCGGTTTCAGGAAGCAGTCCAACGTAACCCAGGCGGTATGTGGAACAACACCATGCGACACCGTTGGATGTCTCTCAGCTAACACGTTTCAAACAGAACATCACTTTCACTGGCGGTGTGATCCACATCATTGACGAGGTCCTCACCATCCCTCTGAACCTCAGCGCCACGGCCATCGAGGCCAACCTCACCGCTGCTGCCGGTGCACTGACCGCGGCCAACCTGACCGAGCCTCTCGACCAGGCGACCAACATCACCGTCTTTGCCCCTCTCAACCAGGGCTTTGCGGATATCGCAAACATCCTGCAGAACATCAGCAGCGAGGATCTCGGCAACGTGCTCCAGTACCACGTCCTCGAGGGCGTGGTGGCTTACAGCACCGACTTCCAGAACGGCACTCTCGAGACCGCGGGTGGTGAGACGCTGAATGTCACCGTGCTCGGCTCAGATGTCTACGTCGATTCCGCCAAGGTCGTCCAGCCCGACGTCCTCATCGCCAACGGTGTTGTGCACGTCATTGACCGGTACGTCCTCCAATTTCTCCTCATCTAGGCTTGAAAACCCATCTAGGCTTAAAATCAAACTCCGTGCTAACCTCGATGCAAATAGTGTTCTGAACCCCAACGCCACGTCGGGCAACGACACCACCCCCAACACATCAACCACCGCGCCCGCCTTCAGCGGCGCGAGCACCCTCTCCAATGGCGCGATCCCCTTCACGTCCGGCGTCCCCGCGCCGACCTCCACGCAGACCAACCTCGGCGGCGTCGCCAGCACCAGCAGCTCGGAGCAGGCTGGCGCCCGTGTCACGGCCATGGTTGGTATGGGAGCTCTCTTCGGAGGCGCTGCCATTCTGGGCAACGGATTTTAAGGGCATTGATTGTGTGGGATTATTTGTACCTTGATAGTGCTCGGGAAATGGGAATTTCTTGGGTGAATTGATGTACGCTGACGCATGGAATTGAATGGGAATCTGGACTGGCACCGCTTGTTAATAGTGGGAAGTAATGATGAATTGTTATCGTCCACTTATGAGAGTAAAATGACACAATTGATGCAACTAGAACACGGAAAAAGTTAAAATGAAGTTCAAAAAAGAAGTGTTCGAAAGAACAAAATGCGAGTGAGGGTAAGGTGCTTGGGGTTGGAAGGCATGTGATTAGGTAGGTAGGTAAGCACGCCCTAAATTTGGCACACGACCTCTTCCAAGCAATGTCACAACCGCAAAACTCCAAGAAAACAACCAGCGAGACCGGCAGAGCTGAGATTTCAACAAAATCTCAATCATCAAAAAAAGAAAACCGTCGCAAAAAGCAAAATGCGTAATCTGGGAATCGAACCCAGGGCTCCCCGACGCTGCTCGGATGGCAACGGAGAATTTTACCACTAAACCAATTACGCAAGTTATTGGATGAGAGAAGGTGGTCTAGTTGCTCACTAAGAGAATTTGCGCCGGAGCCAGAAGGCCGGAAATATGGGCCTCCGCCGGCGCTCGTATTCGCTCCATGCTCCGGCCGTCTTCGGGTTCGCAGATCGCGATACCATCTTGTTCGGGTTCGTCTCCGCCATCAAACGTATTCGAGACGTCCGTATGTCGGGTTCACGGACGGCGGGAAAATGGGATCTAGTCCGATCCTTCGACTCAAGGGGTTCCGGACCAGAAACGAGTATTTAACCTGCGTCTTTTTCCCTTCTTCCGACTCAAAAAACTCATCATCTTCATCACCTTTCAACTTCGCCCTCATCACCGCCTCCGCTCCGGAAAATTTCCCCATCTGCCGCTCATCTCCCATCCCCGTTCACCCCGCCCTACGCATCCACAAACACGCCATGTCTGCCCAGGAGGTCATCTCACACGACGAGGTCCGGCGCCATGCCTTTGACGCCGTCCTCCACCGCCAGTCCAACAAGAACCAAGGTGGTCTCAGTGCCATGAGGCAGAAGAACAGTGCTGCCAACGCTGCCGCCTCAAAGGAGTACTTCCAGTACTGGGATGACAAGAAGGCCGAAGATGAGACGGCCGAGGTCCGTCAAGAGAGAACTGACAACTATGCCACGATCACCAGACAGTACGTTGCACACCCCTCCCCCTTCCATCATCACCTCGAGTCATTCTTGTTCTAACATGTAGGGTAGGTACTACAACCTGGCGACGGACTTCTACGAGTACGGCTTCGGCCAGTCCTTCCACTTCTGCCGGTTCGCCTACGGCGAGACCTTTCACCGCGCCATCGCCCGCCACGAGCACTACATCGCCCACAGCATGTCCATCCGGAAGGGCATGAGGGTGCTGGACGTGGGCTGCGGCGTCGGAGGGCCGGCCCGCGAGATCGTCAAGTTCACCGGGGCCCACGTCACGGGGCTCAACCTCAACGAGTACCAGGTCCAGCGGGCCACCAACTACGCCGCCCGCGAGGGGCTGTCGAACCTGCTGGATTTCGTCCAGGGCGACTTCATGGTGCGTTACGAGACTACAAACTATGATATGTAATGGCTAAGATACTAATTGATATGGATGATAGAAAATGCCGTTCCCCGACAACTCCTTCGACGCCGTCTACGCCATCGAGGCCACGTGCCACGCCCCCTCCCTCAAGGGCGTCTACAGCGAGATCTTGCGCGTGCTCAAACCCGGCGGCACCTTTGGCGTGTACGAGTGGCTGATGACGGACGCGTACGACAACGACGACCTGGAGCACCGGCGCATCCGGCTGGACATTGAGCAGGGCGACGGGATCCCGCAGATGTTCACCGTGGCCGAGGGCGTGGCGGCCATCGAGGACGCCGGGTTCGAGCTGCAGCACCACGAGGACCTCGCGGTCATCGGGGAGGCGTCGTTCGCGCCGTGGTACTGGGTCATCGGGACGAGCCTGGCGTACGCGCAGTCGCTGAGCGACGTGGTCATGGTGGCGCGGATGAACAGATGGGGGAGGGAGGTGATGCACGCGCTGTTCGGGGCGCTTGAGACGGTGTGGCTGCTGCCGCCGGGGACGAGGAAGACGGCCGAGAGCCTCGGGAAGGCGGCGGACGCGCTGGTGGAGGGCGGGCGGAGGGGGCTGTTCACGCCGATGTACCTGATGGTCGGGAGGAAGCCGGAGGTGCAGGAGGTGCAGGAGTGAGTACCTCACGAGGGCTGGTGATACTTTGCTACACGATGTCGATCTGGGGAGTGGAGGGAGGGGTGTGTAAGCGACTTGATGATGACGGGGAGGCACGGAACTGGGATACACCATACTGAATGCGTATTAATTAGCACGCGTCCTCGGCACGAAGCGAGAGAGAGTCGAGATAGAATTGAAATCTTTTTTACATGTATTTGAAAATTGTACGGTACGGTGGAGATGGGACGAGTTGGGTGCATAAGCGTAGGTGACCGGTGTGAAAGTGGCACGATTTGAGCGGTTTCTTGACTTACCGCCACTGCGGCCACCCAACGAACACGGCCCAAGGGTTCCCATCTCCTCGGAAGGCGGAGTGGAAACAGGTGGGCTTCCAGAAGATGCGGACGAAGAGGGAGAAGATGGTGAGAGAGGAAAACTGGGGTTGCGCCCTCTGATTTGGCAACGCCGAGGAAAGAAGGTCAAGGTGAGTCAAGCGCGCTGCATGAATTCACGGCGGGCACGAAGCGAAGGTGGGCTTTCCGAACTTCTGACGGCAAAGAGAAGAATGGGCTCCCGGCCGCTTCGCTGTTCATGAGAAAATTGGCCGGCTGCCGATAGTCTAGCCTTGGCTCTATAGTACACGCAGTGGAAGGGAGCCTGCCTTTGCCGAGGAGAAGGGCTGGTCTGACATATATCATGGATTCTCTTGTTCAAAGCACCTAACCTGCATTGACTGCAACTTTCATGTCAGACGGGCAGATGTTAATGCCCTCATTAAGATATTGGCGAGAGAGTAGGGCAGGCGTCGGGATGTCGGAAACCGAAACAACCAGCCAGACCGGGAGCTTTTCCTCCCCCGGGCTCGGTGGGAAATGCCGCTCGGAGAACAATTGCCAGCGGCGGTTTCTAATCCTGTCACTTGCTTGTGGTGCCCTGCCCTGCCTGTCCTGCACCGCCGTTGGCAGGCGTATGAATGCCCCTGGATTTTCATTTGACAGCGGGCGGGACTGAGTTTGTGCGCACATGGAACCCAGTCTTGATGCATGCCAAGAAGGAGACGGGGCTCTCTCACGGGGGTTCAAAGAGTGATGCAGCAGCAAGCTCAGTCATGGGTCATCCTGCCACCCATCCCAGCTGTGTGGGTGCGTGGGGGCAAAATTGACAGACACACAAGACGTGCAGAGGCAAGGCGTTGAAAAAAGCAACCAAGGGCTTGAGTTTGAGCTGGATCATCGGTTGCTGGACTCAATTGATTCTGTAACCCCTTTTCTTCGTCTAGAGAGGCAAGTACATAATGAAAAGGAGGGTAGGCTAGAGAATGTCATTGGATCCTGGTCAAAAAAAGCAAAGAGAACTAACTAGTCAGGAGGGTGGAAAAAGAAAAAAAAAGTTGGCGAAAATGGTGTCAGAATGCTGCAGTTCCTGTTAAAGAGGCTACTCCCGCCGCGAAACCAGGCGTGCTATACTCCTTGAGGTTTGGCTGGCCAGCTCGGTTGCACTGACAAGCTGTCAGGAGTTAGGAGCAAGTGTTTTCTTTCTTTTTCTTTCAATTTCACCATTGCTTGGCCACATAACTAGCTCGACATTCACCCACATGAAGCACTACTAATAGCGGTTGGCCTGGGACTGGATGGTGCGGCGCGGATACGCGGTGGAATTTGGAATTGGGGTAGACAGCGCTAATGATTCCTGGAGCTGTGCCATTCCACAAACCTGCAGAGAGCGATGACATCGCCTTGCTGCGTGTGACGACCGGGGGCCGAGGAGAAAGACGGAACACGGTTGAGGCTGGCTTTAGTTTTGCCGGCGGCTTCGGCGTCCTGCTGCCACAGCCCTCTGGCCGGCGACTGAAGGTGTGATATGAGCGGTAATATGGTCTGGGGGTCGTACGGTAGGTGGGCATTGAGCCAACATGCTCCAGAGTACTCCGTAGTTTGCTTGTGAAAGGCAGCTGCATCGAGCTGCACATACGTATATACATAACACATGTGCATGGCTGCAACGTGAGCGCTCAGGCATGAGTGTGGCCCCTACAGCGATTACAGCTAGTGAACGTTGAATCTACGGGGTTCTCCAGCCGGCTAAGACTGTGCTCAATCTCATCTTACACTTAATTACTGAAGCACGGCCCATGGGAATCTGGTCCGGTTGCCGCCATGGTTCGCTTCTTCGTTCGTCTTTCTAGGGCGACCCTCTACGGCCCTGATCCACGAGGATGGGAACTCACAGATTCATGGCCGGAAATAGTGATAGACGGTGGACTGGATGAGATTGACAAACACCAGGCTGGCGATTGGATGCCAACCCGTCCTGTGTCCACTCGTTTATCAGGGTCGGCCGACTGAGTGGAAGAAGCCAGGTTTATCCCTCTGCAACAAGTGAAAACTCTTGTCGCGTCGCGTCCGATCAATGGGGACAAGAGGACAGATACAGCCCTAGTAGATGGGGTAGTCCCTGATGATGAGGGTGGAATTAGAGAGTGGATGGATTGATTTTCAGTGGACCAACGGCGGATCCCGAAGCTCACAGACGTGATGAGTAGGCAAATGATCACAGGAAAAAGGCAAGCCGTAGCGACCCAATTGAACAGTGATGGAGAGAGATCTTGGCAGACAGACTAACAGGAGCAAAACCTGCTGGAGTGAGCCGAGTCGCATGGCTCAGTGTGGACCGACAATAATACCTCGAGCCTTGTGGTTACGCCTCATGTCTGCGCTGTTGGTTAGCAGGCAGTAGTATAGCGCGCATGGAAATGAACAATCAATCCCGAAGAGATGAATATTGAAACGGGCTTGCTTTTTCCTGTCAGCAGAGGGTTGGATTGGACCGGCATATGAGACGACCATTGCAGCAGTGATGCCACCCATCGTGGATGCGATCAATAAGGTAGGTAGCATGGCATCAGATTGTATGCAGGCGCATGTAAGTGATATATACTACTGCTGCGCTGTAACCAGACCGCGGGGGAAAAAGAAAGGCAGGGCAAAGCAAATCGCCAGTCAATCAGCTCAGCCGGGCTCACGCGGTTCTTGCTGCGAGTCTTTGCGGCTGGATCTGTCGCTCTCCAATTAAATTCAGATACGGCAAGTCAGAATGTGACAGCTCAGCCTGACAGACCAGCTGCACAATGCAAGGCCGTGGCGAGGGATGAGAAGGCCTTTCAGCCGTCTCCATTCCATCACGATCACTCTCAGCCGAGACACTGGCGTCTACACCACCACACCCTTAAGCCAATGCGACTGACAGCTCACGATACGTTGGGCTCTTGGACCCGTTGATATTTTCTTCTTCGTCTTTGACGTGGCAGAAAATGGCCTGTTTGTTTGACTGGGCCGAGCGATCTAGCTTCTTCGATTCTTAATGGATCTTTTATGGAGGCGTGATAACGGGAAAACCCACAAGAGCACCTCATTCGTGCTTGGCTGCTATTGCTTTTTCCTCAACGGCGCCCCTCCTCGTGTGGGCGTTGGTGGCATCATGTATCGCCCAGAGTGTGTGAGTGCCCGCTTGTTGGATGCCATGGAGGGCAGTATTTGATGAAACCGCCGTTTAATTGGCCAATTTCGCATTGTCCATCTGGCTCACTTTGTGCCGTGCAGGCCATCCACATCGTTCAATGGCTGGGGAAGTGTAAAATACGGCATGATCAGCAGCACGATCCTTTGGGTTCCCAGCATCACGTACATGACAGGCACAGGGCAGGGGGTTACAGGCATTCGATGAATCGCATTCGCGCTGCATGCAGGAATTCACAGTACTGGGTATTCTTGTGTGCGGCGCAGTATCCACGAGCGGTGCCGGCTATGATTAACGGCAAGGCGTAAGAGTGCCCAAGAGCAGGGGAGGGCCGTGATGCTCAGTCCAGCGCCTCCATCAGCCTCCAGTACAGCATTTTTAACAGCCCTGGCCTACACACTGAGTGAACTGTCAGTGATTAGCCGCGCCAGACTGGTGGTCGAGGGCTCCAGGGGAAAGGGTCAGCCTTCCCCCTGTCGTATCGCAGTGGCGTGAGTCGTGTGCTTGTGCCTGAGACTTTGTTCTCGAAGACCCCAAAAAAAGCAAACCCCCTGGAGCCCTTCCCCATCAATCTGGCTGTCCTCTCTTTCCTCTTGATTCAATGGGGGGCGTGTCTCCAGCTTCCAGGACTGTCCTTCCGGGATCTTGCAACGACTCATCGGACGAGGGCCTCCCGGCTTGTCGCGATGGACGCCCCACAGAGAGGCGCAAAAAAACTTTTCGATATCGCCCGCGGGCTCAGCTTGTGCTTGGCTCTGCCTCTAGTGCAGTGGCCGCTGCGGATATGCAAGCCGGCTACGTACGAGGTAAACTGTCACTCTCGTCCCGTCAGCCTCCGCCCCAGCTTTTGGCCCACCCCGTTGTCAGTCTGTCCTCAAGCCGCCGAGAACATACAGTTACGGGTGTCCCTGCTTTGCCTTGGCTCGCCTTGCCTGGGCTGCGCTTGGAACCTGCTCACGGCGGGTCGGCCAATGAGGCTACCAGGACTGGTGTGAGTCTTCCCCATCATGGAGTTTTGTAGAAGAAAAAAATGAAAACGAATCATACGATTCCTTCGGGACCGTCCACGAGAATGCCACGAGGATGTCCGGGATCGATGATGGCGATGATCATGGGTCACCACCAGGCAGGGTCGGTCTTTTCTTCTTTCTACAGCTATGTGATGAAATTTTCCTGTCGACACTCCCCTCGCTTCCCCTTGCAGATGATTTTGCTTCTTCCGACCATTGGTGAGCTGGGTGTTGCAGATGTCTCCCCTGTTCTTCCTTTCCCATGCCCTCCCTGCCCTGACCTCAACCTGGTCCGACCAACGTTGTAGATTTGACCGTGCATAGATTAATGGAGATAGATCATCCAGCTCGTGCTCTCCCATCCGAGATCCATCCCATTGTCTTCATAAAAGCCTGGATTTCCCCCGCCCTGTTCTTCTTGTCTTCCGTCATCACCTCTCCCATCTTGTAATTCCTGACTTGCATCCATCAGATATAAACACAGCCCCTCCCCTCATCTAGCCTGTCAATCCCCATTCCTCGTGCAAGGTTAACGTGGGTGGTCTTGACCCGATTGGCACTATCAACCAAACAAGAAACACCCTTCCAGGCTTCTCGAACCTCAACGTCACGATGGCCTTGACTTTCGAGCAATCCAAGATTGTGCGGGGATCTATTCCCATGCTCAAGGAGCAGGGTGAGAGAATCACTGGCCTCTTCTACTCTACCATGATCACTGCACATCCCGAACTCAGGAACATGTTCAACCTCGTCAACCAGGCCAACCGCCGCCAGCCTCGCGCCCTCTGCTCCGTCATCCTCGCCTTCGCCTCCAACCTGAGCCACACCCACGAGCTCATCCCCAAGCTCGAGCGCGTCTGTCACAAGCACTGCTCCCTCGGTATCCGCCCAGAGCACTATGACATCGTCGGCAAGTACCTCCTCCAAGCCTTTGCGGAGGTTCTCGGATCTGGATGGACACCTCAGCTACACGGTGCCTGGTCCAAGGCATATTCCATCCTTGCTCGCATGCTCATCGGTCGGGAGGTCTCCCTCTACAAGGACTTTGGCGAGTGGCAAGGCTGGCGCAGCTTCCGTATCCATAAGAAAATTGCAGAGACGGAGGACATCTACTCCTTCTACCTCGTACCTTCTGATGGAGGCAGCCTGCCTTCCTTCGTCCCAGGCCAGTATATTTCTCTCCGTATCATGATCCCAGGCAAGGGTCATCTCCAGCCCCGTCAGTACTCTCTCTCCGAGACCCCCCGGCCAGACTACTACCGGATCAGCGTCAAGCGGGATAGGGGCGTCCAGGTCGGCAAGGGCGTTGATGCCTTCCAGCTACGACCGGGCATGGTCTCCAACGAGCTCATTGACGACTACGCCGCCGGCGACACTGTAGAGGTCACTCACCCGGCCGGTGACTTCAACTTTGACACACAGTGTTACAGCACCATGCCCGTCGTCCTCATCTCCGCCGGCTCCGGCGTCTCCCCATTGACCTCTATCCTCAACACCATCGTCGACAACCAACCCGATCGCCCCATCAGCTGGATCCACTGCTCCGCCCGCAGAGCTCCCTTCGAGGACCACGTCCGCTCCATCGCGAGGGGCAGGCCCAACTTCGCCATGCGCTTCTTCCGCAGCAAGGTCGCCGAGGTCGACTACCGCAGCGGCACCGCCCGCGGCGAGGGCCTCAGGATGGACCTCGAGCGCATCGACCGCGAGCAGCTCCATCTCGACCACGGCGCCGCAGAGTACTACATCTCCGGGCCCGAGGCCTTCAGCTTCGACATGTCCAAGTTCCTCAGGGGCCAGGGCGTCGACCCGCAGCGAATCAGGAACGAGTGGTTCACAACCGGTGAGGTTGCATAGACCCGTTTCTACTGCCGGTTCTCCTGTGCCCTCCCCTGGACTGCATCACCCCATGTCCATACCCCCCCACTTTCTTAAAGCTTTTTTTATGTTTGCATGTGTTTCTTTTGTCTATTATGTTGGATAAAAATTGTCATCGGATGAGAGAACGAATGAACCCTAACCAGAGCAAAAACAAGGCGTTTGAGGACGACGGCGGGAAAGCCTGGATTTTTGATATTGGTAAACCAAGTGTATTACGGACCTACATTTGTTTTGTATATGACTAGACATATTGTTAATAATGAAGATGAAAAATGGCCCAGCTTCACAGTATGGGCCAAGCTCTACCTTACGAATTGCCCACACTATTTCCTGTTGATACTTGATGATTGCTCCGGGCCGGTACTGGTCTCCGGACCCCAGGTTGTGGTGAAAGCAGAAACAGACCACTTCGCTGGGCGGTGTCCATGGATCTCGCCATTTCAGATGACATTTGTAATCTTCAAGGTCGAAATCCGTCGACAGGGAAGGGTTGACAAGGGGTGTGGAAGTCTCCGGGAATGAATCGCCTCTCGTCATTTGTGATGTGAGAAGCGAAATAATCATTAAACAAACCCATCACGAGGGCGGTTGATTCTGCGTTTCTTCGGGTGTGTCGGTGATTTCCAAGCCACACCGAGAAGCTGATAAGATGAAGGGACCCTGCCCTGGCTGCATTCTTTCGGGTGATTCTGTCGGTGATTGACTTTCGACCAGTGCGGAGTTATGTTCGTTGCTACGCTGGCTTGATGACGGCCTTGCCACACGCCCCCCCCTCCTCAAGAGAGTTTCAGCAATTAAGCTGGGATGGGATGGAAACGCTGCCGATCCGGTTCTCGGGACGCAACCACACCTATTCCCACTCTGGCCCTCGATTCGGCCGGGAATGTTGTGAGTAGCGGTGCACTTGCGGCCGAGGAGCCACACACATGCCCAGCCCCAAGTCATCCGATATCGTCAGAGATGGGCATGAAGTGCGCTGCCGACTTTACTTTAGCCTTGTTCCCGCATCGCGAACTGTTGCAGAGCGAGGCAGGGGTGATGATGCTCTCACAAGCAAACGGCACAAGATTACAATCAGGCAATTCCATAAGGTCCACCCCCTGTCCAATCCAGCTTTTTTTCATCACCCAGACAGAGAGCACCTTGACACCGTTCTTTGGCAGACGGGGATCATGGATTCTGAGCAGTCTACTAGAATAGTTCTTCGAAGCCACGCTCTCTTCTCTCCGGTCATGCCATGGGGCCTTTGGGTCCCGAAACACGTTGCTCCTCATCCACCCGGATTTTCCCCACTGACTGTTCATCCCCCCCTGTCTGCAGTTATGCGAACACCCCAGCCCTCCATCATCGGATCCGATTTTAAGAATTTTCTTCCCATTCTAATTTCTTGGGGTTGCGTGCGGCTGAATGAACATCATCTCGTGTACGCAAGTGAGGACGCGGAAGATGAGTTGCCATACTGTGTTTGGCTAGATTGATGAGCGACACATCCGTCCGGATTCATCGGATAAGGGTGTGTGTGTGCGACAGAACATCCGTGAACACCGGCAAGGTTCGGGACTTGAGGGAATGCTTCCCTTTCACGTGTGTTTATTTTCAATCCCAGAACTTTGTGGCGTGGGGACACAACACAGGGCTGCATATCTGCACGCAGGCAGCAATCACCAGCCACTCCCGGCAGGCATACAATTAGCAATGATGCGAACTGTTACGAGGAACACTGCTTCTCGGAACTTGCCCCAGCCCGGCTTCCCCCAATGGGAATCGCCGCTGCCTATTGCCAATCTGCGTCGTCAATGCGCCAGGACCACGGCTCGAGATCAACCCTACATGGCCTTCTTCCGACTCTTTCTCTCGTTGGGGGCCGGGCCAGTAAGACAATTCGCCTTCATTTTGTTTGGCCCGGCTGCCTCTCTCTTCCTAAATGACTGATTAGCCGCAATCACATGGATTATTCTCACGGGTGGCCGGACAGCATGATGTCATCCCATGTTGGCATCCCCGGCATGGGCTAATAGACTCGGGAAGGACGGCCCTTCTAATTAGTTTCCTTCTCCCTGTCTAGTGGCCTTTTCCTTGACGGGTTGTCCCTGTTATTGAGGTTCGGCGCACGCACATTCTGTATTTAAAGAATGAGGACGAAAAAGAGACCAGAAACGGAAAACAGACTCATCCAGGGTACAGGGTTCGCCGAGTGGTGAGCGGGCGAGCAAGATTTTGGGCACCAGGAGTATGGGTCGCCGAGATCCAGATCCAATTCCGTCTATACCGCCTCGGAAATTGCTTGTTTTGTTCCTTTCCAGACTCGTGGGACGCCGTGCTTTCCGACTAGTGGGCAATTGGATCATGATATTACGACAACTCCTCGGGAACGAAGCCAATGGGAGAGGCAGCGAGATGGGATCAGGGTCTTTGTGCTCCACTGGTGGCGATCGAACCATCGAGTGCCAGCCTCGTGGGATGAGCGGTTCAATGCCAGCCACATGGTGGTCTTAGGTCAGAAACACTGGGTTGGGGGGGTGTGATTGAGCAGATGCTCCAAGCTGACTCCTCCCCTCCGGGTAGGGAACCCATGGTATCATTGTCTAATGTTTATTTAAAATCGTTCGTGAGGGCGACATAGACGGATACCTGGACCCAGTCAAAGGATTCTATACCAAACGGAACGTGGCATCAGTTCTTTGAGGGTGTTCGAGAAGACAAAGAAGGCCCCTTCCTGCGATCAATCATTTCCCATCAATATGATAGGTCTTATTTCTTCAACCCACCATCCTTTGGCTCGCTTATCACGCGAGATTCTGCGCAGAACCTTCATAAGTCGATTGGCGACTCGAAGCTATGACAGTGCTGATCCTTGTTGTTTCTATTACCCATGCTGACACTTTGGACTGGATTTCTCTCAGTATCTCGAAGGAGAACAATCTAACTATTGTGGGCCTGGAATATTGAAAGGAGCGTGGCAGTTTGTCTTATTTTGAGTTGAAAATAGGATGACCTTATTATATCAAGCTAGGCAGGTATTTAAGTTTAGTTAAGTACTGGATATAGATTATACCCTGAGATTCTGTTGGGCTGTGTTTGGTGCCTATGTGCTGACTGTTAAGACTTGCCCCGGGAAAAGTCCTAAAATGAACAAACTTATAAAGATGAGTTGTGATCCCCTGTATTATTCTGCTGTCTCTGCATACTATAAAACTAAAAGTGAGCTAGGTGGAAGAGATAGAAACGTAGTTGCTCCTGCTTTATGCTAACTAACCTACCACTGGACCATACTGATGCAGCTATCCTGGGTAGATGATCTCCTCTTGTTCTAGCTTTACTTAAATTACTGGGGGTTAAGCTGCTGTTGGTAAGGTAGAGTTCTCAGATGTGCTAGATGAGGTAAGTCTTGGGGGTTATTGGAGTGTTAATGTATGATGTGTGATAACTCTCAGCTGGTTAGATAGTATCGGGATGGGTAGTAGTAGCTCTCCTATCTGACCGTGATGGAGCCTGACTCTGTGCCTGTATGTTTAATTGTCCCTAACTGGGAATTTTTTGGGTTACTGAGAACCAACAGCAAATATAGGTTTACTACCGTCACGTTATGCTGCCTAAGGCAACGTAAGCGCCCTGTTGGTTCTCTCTCTCACGCTCCTGGCTGTGGGCCCAAATCCTCTCATACACACTTCATCTCAAGATTCCAAACGGTCAATCAATCAAGCACGACACCTGATCTCGAGCCAGAAACGCACTTCCAATAGCAATGCCTCTCTTGAAAAACATCTTTCACAAGTGGAAACAGGGCTTCATTAATATGGTCTCACTGCCTTGGATACATAAGGGATCTTCTGTTAAATTCGAAGAAAACCGGCAGAAATGGCAAGAAGCCTGCACTCAGGACTCAGTCCTCGCCGACTTCACCACTTACCTCATGGAAGGTACTCCCACACTTGGCCCGGTCTTTAATGAAACGGAGGTAGATCGTTTACAGCAACTTTTTTCGTCTCGCGCGGGTGAGAATAATTGTACGGCCTTTCCACTTTACTCTATATTTTGGGATATCGGGGCTAATTCTTGCCGTCTAGGCTGGAATCAACAGGCATTAACTTCTTATCTTCTGGCTCAAATCCCACCCGGAGAAGAATTTGAAGCCTGCCTACTGAAGGCCATGCCGTCTCTCTGGGCGCTGGCCGTACACTTTGCGATATGGCCATTCAATGCCACACTGGACCACCCGACGACTGGTCTAACTTTGTTTGAGTTCATCCGCGCTGTTGCCTTCCTCTGTGGTAGGCACAGCATGATGTTCAATGCCTGGTGCAACAAAGACGGCGTGTTCAATCGCAATATAGACCAGCCAATGCTAGAATACATCTTCCGAGGCCTCGCGACAAACAATGGGCTGACCAACTCATCTCTGCCCAAGCAATCGGCCCAGCTATTTTCCCAACGCGACATACTTGATGTTTTAAGTGTGGCCCAGCCGGTATTGAACTGCTGCACACAACTGCTCACCCGGAACGAGCTGAGGCCCATCGCCAACCGGCTGGCTTCGACTCCTGCCGAGCTTCGTGACCTCTTTGTTCAGACAAAGATGCTTATCCCGCTTCTAGAACTCTCGGTATTACTTCTTGAACAAGCAGGAAAATTCGACAGTAGCGATTGTCCAACATCTCTGAAGGAACGGATACTCACTGCTCAAACGGAGTTGCAGAAGACCGAGGACGTGTCGTTTGAGGTCTACCGTAGGTGGCTAGACAGCGATAAGCAAGAGTGGAAGAAGACGCTAAACGGTGTGTATACCATCTATGATAGTATTGCCCTGCTCTTCAACACTTTTGTGAATCCTGAAAGCTTGATCAGTGGGAAATCTCAGTATTGGTATTCAGGAGATGAGATAACATTACGTGTTATGTCGATGCGAAATGTAGGTCTGACTTTTTATCGTGAGGAAAAGATATCGCAAAACTTCACCCAAGAAGAGAAATAGTATCACCACGCTTAGCTCGCCTATGCTTGTTGTTAACTTTTTTCGTTGTCTCTCAAGAATGCGCACACGTAAATTAGATGTTCACAATCGCTATGCTTACAGGGATAACAACCATGCAGTTTGTATCGCGTGCAATACCTACTATTACGCAGCACACAGAGGATAAGACTATCTATGTTTCAGTGAGTTAGGTAGCTTCTATTTTTGTACAGAAGTTTTTTTCTATGTTCGGCTCGCGTATGGACCTGAATAAGCTACCAACCTCTCACATACAACCATACCTACCAAGAAGTACTGGATCCCGTCATATGCTCTCATTCTGGGAGTATTAGTATCTAAAAGGTCATCCCTTGGCCTCCATCTTTAGAATCTAATATATTTCTCTCAAGCGGCTATTGCTCTTAGATATTTTCAAGAGAGGAGTTCTTTAAGTGAATAGGTCTTAGCCATCTTAGTGTCCCTAGTCCACGAAATGAAACATTATTGGTCATTAGCCAACTTCTCTGCCAGCTTTTTACCCATTGCACCCAGTGAGCCCATGGCGAGCATCTCAAGTACGCTGATGTCCAGCCCAAAGACCTGCCTCCACCAGGCTCGCATCTCTACCGCAATCAGAGAGTCCAGACCAAGCTCAGCCAGGCCCGCTGTTAAGGACGGCTCGTCATCCGGCTTCAAGAGCAACGCAAACAACTTCTTGCCAATTTCGCGTGCTAGCATCTCTGCGGATCCAGGCTTGGTGAAGAGGGAAGGGTCACTCTTCGCTTGGGCCATGAACGCTTGTAGGTGGTCGGTGCTATCCGATCCTGCACCAAGGCTTGCCTGCCCGCTATTCAGGAGAGCAATCATTCTCGCATCCTTGCTGAAGCGCGAAGCGCTGCTGGTGCTGCTAGGTGAAAGCCCAATGAGGACGGTGTCCCTGTCCAATATAGGTGCCCATGGGTCCGTTGAGACTTCTTCGGACTTGACATTAGCAGATGGCAACATGGCCGACCCAAGCACGCGGAGTAACTCTTCTTCTTGCACTGGATTCCAACCAGTGCCCTTCATCTTCTTCAGAAGCTCTTCGTTTTGAGCCAGGTATCCAACGCCTTCCATAGCTCCAATGTCCAGTGTTGTTACCGGCAGGCCCATGCTCTTCCGGTACTTGGCAAATGCATCGAGGAAAGTATTTGCAGCAGCGTAGTTGGCTTGGCCCGGCTGCCCTAGGATCCCTGAGAGTGAACTGAATAGTATCATAAAATCCAGCTCCAGCCCTTGGTCAACCGAGACTCGGTGGAGGTGCCACACTCCATCAATTTTGGGCTTGGTGGCATCATTCCAGTCGTTGAGAGTCATGCGCTGGAACGATTGGTCTCGGAGAACCATGCCTAAATGTATGATGCCTTTTACTGGCTTCGACGCGCCTTGAATCGCACGAGCCACGTCCTCCCTCTCGGCAACACTGCCTTGAACAAATTGCACCGAACAGCCCATGCTTGCTAGCACGAGCGCAAACTTGTCATGCTGAGGGTCGCTACCAGCGCTGCGGGATAGATATGTCAGATGTCGTGCTCCGTGTTGTACCATCCAAACGGAAACGGAGCGGCCTAGTCCTCCAAGGCCTCCAATGAGGAGGTACGTGGCTTCTGGATCGAGATGTAGATGATGGCCAGTCTTGTTGGCCACGGGGTAGTTAATACTAATGTCGTTTTCCCCATTTGTGGTATCTTCAGAGAGAGAGACAAGGATCTTGCCGATATGTTGCCCCTTTTGCATTTCTCTAAAGGCAGATTCCACTTTGCCTGCGGGAAATTTCGCTGATTGAGGAATAGGCTGAATTTTGCGTTGCTCATAGTAGGTGGTCATCTCGCTCAATAGACTGCGAAAGAGTAAGACAGTGTTTGTTAGTACTTGACCAGGTAATGGGGTTATAATCGGGGGAAGAACATACAGGCTGATCATCTCTGGTCGCTCTTCTGCCATCTGGCGAAGATCGAAACAAGAGTAAGAGCGGCTACCAAGGAACATGTCCATGTCCAGCTTGCCTGCACCGAGCAGATCGACCTTCCCAATTTCCACCATTGTGCCCCATTTTGCGACACAGCGCCAAGTCGCATGCAAGAGGTCTCCGGAGAGGGAATTCAAAGCCAAGTCTACTCCCTTTCCTTGAGTTTCCCGGAGGATATCATGCGCAAAGCTCTCATTATGCGAGGAAAATATGCGATTTCGGGGCAAGCCAAAGGCTTTCATAAGATAGTTTACCTTCTCTTCGCTTCCAACGGTTGCATAGACTTGGGCGCCGAGCATATGTGCAATCTGGATCGAGGCGAGGCCGACGCCGCCGCACCCGCTGTGAATGAGGACAGACTAAAAGCGAGTATAAAAGCGTTAGGTACAAGGCCAGACTTTGTATATTTTGAGGACGCGTTACTTACCATGCCCTTTTGGAGACGGCCAGTATGTATCAAGGCATAAATCGCTGTCAGGAAGGCAATAACCATTGTTGCTCCGTCGGCGAAGCTAAGATTGTCAGGAAGTTTGTGACAGAGCATCTCCGAGGTAGTGAAGGCAGTTGAGAAGGCACCTGTGCCCATGGCGAGGACTCGGTCTCCTACAGAGACCTTTGTGACTTGCCGGCCGACACGTTTGACGACACCAGTTGCTTCGAGCCCAAACCGTCGCTCTGTCTCAACGACCCCAATGATTCCCATGGCCTCTAGAACATCCTGTTGCAACTTGTTAGTTATGCAAGTCGTGGTGTGAATGTAGCTGTTCTGCAAGGTGACTAACCCGAAAGTTCAATCCAACGACGCGGACGTCGATTTCAACCTCAAAATCTCCCAGTGGTTTTGACCGGCGTTGCTCCCAAGCCAGCGAGTCGATTCTCCCTGGATGACCAATGCTGAGCGCAATGTGCCCGTCTGAGGGTTCTCCATTGTCCAGCGTCTTTGATAGCGGTGGTTGAGGGAAGAAGCGGCCGACACGTACAACACCGCCTGAGATGACAAACTCTAGGTCCTGGCTCAAGTCCGGATCACGCTCATGAAACCTACGGCAAACACGGGCGGCCATCTCTGCACCGGATACAGAGTCTAGGTCGTCGACTTCGCAGATGCCAAAGGCGATGCCCATTTCGGAGCGGATTGTGCGGGCTAGACCAGTAACGAGAGCGAACCGAGGGTCTTTGCATTGTATCTGCGAAACTCGGGTGATCCAAAGGATGCCTGAGTTTGAGCCTTCAAAGTTGCCAATCCACTTGTTGAACTTTTCGAATGTTTCGGCGTCTATTCCGGCAAAGAATGGCTCCTCTGTCTCCAAAACCGCAATGACATCCTGGCCTGGTATTGGCCGGTCATTCAGGGTGCACCGGGAAGTCTGTATTCCTAGAGACTCCAACGATGTCTCCAGCGGTAGCTTCTTGGTTTCTAGATTAGCTTCACTCATTAGCACCATAACCCGTCTTGTTGGGACAGTCCTAGGTTGCGGTCTCGCCACCATCACTGTATTGAGGCCCATGGAGCCAGGGGAATCCGACACGGCAGCGTCCAAGCCCCGGTATCCGCTCAACAATAGTTCCTTCTCCCATCGCTTTACATCCACGAAAGGTTCGTCTACTCGATTATCCTCGACACCGCGCCACCACCCAGGCAGTAACCCGAGAACGTACTTGAGCCAGCACAACCCCTCCCGTGGCTGTTGCAGGATGAGGCGTCCGTCCGGACTCAACAACTGGTGTATATGCCGCAAGCTGTGGTGGAGGCTCGGAGTAGAATGGAGAACGCCAGCAGCGAGAATCAAGTCAAATTGCTGCTCTTTGAAGCCTTGGGCCATGGGATCTCTGCTAATGTCCAGATTGGCAAATTCAAGATTGGGAATTCCCTTGAGACGGTCACGTATGTCGCTGGTAGTCACAGTCTGTCTATCCGCGTAAACATACCGGGAATAAAGAGGCTGTCCATCCGGATCCTGGAGAGCGCCGACGACACTGCTGACTGCGGGGGCCGTGTCGGACCTGAGCTCGAGGATCCGGAGATTGGGTTGCATGCGCGATAAACATTTGAGCAACGGAGATACGTCATAACTTCCAAGAAATTGGTATACCTTATCCAAAAGTCCGTCTTCGTTCAAAATACTCGAAACTTGGGTGTGGCCCGAGACAAGTGGTACTATGTTGTCGCAAATCCTGGCCACAGCCATGGCGGCATGAGACGCCGGACCATCTCGGAGCGAGTCGTGGAGTTCCGCAAAGCGAACACGTAGGTCATCGGCATCATGGGTTTCTGCAAGGGGACAGCCCTGAATCCACTTGACATAGTTTTGGACGTGTGTTGCTGGGGGTTGAGGTGCGCCATTCCCGGAAAGAGATCGTCGGCACAGCAAGACGGCTGTGGTCGCCATGTCCTCCAACGCTTCAAAGTATGCCGAGTTGTCTCTTGTCGGCTTGGCCAAGGTATTGGCATCCATGAACTCTATGTGGCAAACCCAACTTGACCGTGCGGTCTTGGAAAGGGCGGAATCAGCGCCCGCACCGCCCGTGTTCAAAGGAGAAAAGCTTGCGTTGGAGACACGCATGACGACCTGTGATCCGGCAATGCAAGCTCCATCGGCAGCGGTACTACCGCCGACTTGCTTCGAGGACACTCTCAGAGTGAGATCATCGACCGAGCAGCGCGATATGGCAATGTGGCCTACGCTGATAGGTACAGCCGGGCTGTATGCGTGTGTGAACCCGTGGTGGGCCGCCGCCCCCACGAGCTGGAAGAGGGAGTCGAGCACCACGGGATGCAAGTGGTATCTGTCTTCGTCCCCATGCCAGTTGTTCTTCATCCTTGCCACTCCTACATGCTCTGGGCCGGCCGCGCTTGTCCTGACCTCCTCGAGGGACCTGAAATGGTGTCCGTAGCGTAGCCCTCCGCGACTCACCCGGTCATACCACTGACGCACATTCACCTCGTGAGGTGTGCTTGTGTCATCTAGTACGCTCTCATCGTCGGGCTGCAAGGGTTGGGGAGTAGCCGACACCTGCCCGAAGCAGTGGTTCGTCCACGCATGTCCGTTGTGGGCCGTGATAGAGAAATCCCACCACCGACTCTCCTGGGACGTCGTCAAGCGATGGCGGCGGAGTGTCGTCACTATCTCGGTCGGTGCCCCCTCGCGGATGACAAGTGCGGTGTTGACGCTTACGCGGCGGAGCTCGACGGATTCCCGGTTTCCCGTAATTTGAGCGACTGCCTCGGAAGCCATGGCGACGTAGCCGGTGAACGGAAACACAATGTCTTCGTGGATCCGGTGGTCGCGGATCCAGGGCGCGTTGTCGAGATGGAGAAGGTTCCTCCAGACGGGCTCGACGGTCGTGCTCTCTGGCACTTTGAGACCTAGAAGGTCGTGGCAGGGATTCGAGTTCATTCGCCACTCCAATGCCACTCGCGATTCCCTCCAGTACGTCTTTTGGTGATTCCAGGGGTAGCGTGGGAGGTCCGGCAGGCATTTACCGTCTTGTATGAGGGAAGACAGGTCGACTGGTACATGGAGCGTCCAGAGCTTACCTACTGCGTTCAGGAGCGTTTCCACGGCGTTCTCTTTGCGCTTCATCAGGGGCACATACGGTGCCGTATTTGACTGACTGGTCAAGATCTGACGTAGCGGACCTGATAACGCCGAGTGAGGTCCAGCTTCCACAAAGACGAGATTGTCGCTTCCGCCCGCGGGTGGCTGCTTCAGAATGCTAGCCACGGCAGAATTGAAGAGTACTGGAGACTCCAAGTTCGACCGCCAATAACTCGGCCCAAAGAGCGATGTTCCACCTTCACCATTCGCTGAGCCATCCTTTTCAAAGAGCTTCCCGGTCACACTGGAGTACACTGGCAGTGATGGTGTTGCGCCGGCTACTCCTGCGGCAACCATGAGGTTGTAGTACTCCTCTCCGACATCCTTCATATGGTGCGAGTGATATGCATTGCCTACCTCGAGCGCCTTGGTAAGTGTATTAGGCAGCTTTTGTTTAATTCGGGCCAAAACCTCGCTCACTCGCTCCGTATCCCCGGAAATGGTGACGCTTCGAGGAGAATTGTCGCAAGCCAGGACGACGCCGGGCAACAGGAACTCTTCTGTCTCCTTCCAGCTGAGCCCGACAGCAGCCATTGTCCCATCGCGGGTTGTCTTGGCCGATACCAGACCGCGGTAGAACGCCACAACGATGGCTTCCCTGGCACTCAGACCACCGGCCGCATACGCTGCTCCCATCTCACCACTCGAGTGGCCCACGACAGCCGCAGGACTGATTCCAACCGACGTCAACGTGTCGACCAGGGCGATCTGGAGCGCTGTGCACAGTGGCTGCGAGAACTCGGGTTGGTTGACTCTACTCGTTCTCGCGGGCTTGAGCAGTTCGTCCTCGATTTTCCACTCGGGCTTTGGGGGGCCTAGATCTTGGAGATGGTTGTCGAGGGATCGAATTGTCTCGCGGAACACCTTGTTACTACGTAGTAGCTGCCGTCCCATCTGCGGCCACTGCGCCCCTTGCCCAGTGAAGACCATGATGACAGATGGCGAGGATCCCTTGCTCGAAAGCGGAGGAGAAGGGTTCCCTAGTTGATGCCTTGTACCGACCGCAAAGGAGCGGAAGCTCAGCTGCTGCCGCCGTCTGGCCATGGTATATGCCACGTCTCTCAGACTCAACGACTCGGGCCCGTTCTCGACGTATTCCTCGAGTCCCTTTGCCAAGCTCTCCAATGAGCGGTCACTGCTACCTGACAAGAGCAACAAGTGTGGCTCGTTGGCAGAGCTCTTTGCCAGGCCAGCATGTCGCGACTGGATGGCGGGGAACCTCCGTGGCGAATCAAGAATAACATGGGCGTTCGATCCACCAATTCCAAAGGAGTTGACACTGACTCTCTCATAACGTCCTTCTGGCCACGGTGTTGCTTCTGTGGGCACCACGAGCTGACCTTCGGCGAAAGGGATCTTGTCACTCAGGGGGCTGCACTTGATGTTGGGCGCAATTGTCTGGTTCTCCAAGGACAAGACAGCTTTGAGAATTGCAGTCAACCCGGAAACACCCTCACCGTGTCCTATATTTGGCTTAATAGAGCCAATGTGTACGCCGCCAGAGCCGCCAAAGACCCTTGCGATGGCAGTTGTCTCAATCGGATCACCCATGGGCGTCCCGGTACCGTGACACTCAAAGAAACCAGTTTTCGAGATATCCGACTCGGCGATACCTGCGGTCCTGTACGCACGGCGAATGAGGGCTTCTTGCGCGTCTGAGCTTGGCATCACGAGCATCGGGGTGTTGCCGTCGGCGTTGGTGGCTGAACCAACAATGACCGACCTGATGGGGTTGCCGTCTCGGAGAGCGTCATCCAAGGACTTGACAAACAGTGCTACAACGCCCTCGCCACGTGCGTATCCGTTCGCCTTGGTAGAAAATGTGTTGCAGGACCCGTCTGGGCTCAAAGTGCCCTGGTCCGACATATCGGTCGTCAAAGACGGTGCCATGATGATGCTAGTTCCGGCTACAATGGCAGACGAGCAATCTCCCTTGCCGATTGCTGCGCAAGCCTCGTTCAGCGCTACAAGGCTCGAAGAACAAGCCGTACGGACTGTCATACTACAATCGCACAGGTGAGCTATTCTCCCTCACCGTTTCGCAGGCGTTTACGAGTTGACAGATCGAACATACCTTGGGCCGTGTAAGTCCATCAAGTGGGACACCCGATTTGACACGCCGAAATCGTGGGATGTAGTGATATAGTAAGCACCGTATCTTTGTGAATCTCTCTGCAAGATATCATACCAGTCGTTCCCAAAGGTTCCTACATAGACGCCTACATTCGTCCCCTGCCAGTTCACCTCCCCAGCATCGTCGATGGACTCCCTGGACACTTCCAAGAGCAACCGCTGCTGGGGATCAAGGACTTCTAGCTCGCCTCGTGCCATGGGGAAGACGGATGTGTCCAGGGCGCCAATGTCGACATCAGAGTCGAGAAAGTAGCCATGCTTGGTGATGGTGTGGCCTGGCTTCTTGGTCGGCCAGTGGTAGCCCGCGACGTTGTAGCGAGTCTCTGGAACCATAGTCCGAGCGTCCTTTTTGGCCATCAACAGATCCCATAGGTCTTGTGGGTTCTTGACACCGCCAGGGAGCCGGCAGGCCATGCCGCAGATGGCAATGGGCTTGACTGAAGGATCTGGGTGAGAGTCATTGCTGGACCTATCTTCTGTACTCGCCAAAGAATCATTGTTGGAAGAGCCGACGTCGTGATTACCGCCAGAGTCAATCATTCTTCCAGTATCTAACAATTTTTTTCACCAAAGAGTTTCGTGCTATTCCTTTCAAACTTATGGTAGTGGCGGGATTGTATTGCCACCGCGTTACTAATATGTCGAATGCATATCCGAAAGCGATCACCAAATGTTTTAAAGAGTTTGGTTCATCGGCTTGAGCCGGGCTCGTTCTGGCCGCCAAGTACCACTACGTTTCTTGCAGGATCATGCGTCTGGCCATAGCCATGTTGTAGGAATGCATATGCAAGGCAAGGGTCGCACAGCGTTGGCACGCCACCGTTGCAGCGCTTCTGCCTGGGTACCTGGCCCATGCTTTGCTGGCACCTTTGTTCTTAGATGGGAAATTTGGATCTGTTGGTCGTCCAACAAACAGGCATGCTGCAGGGAGTGGAAACAGGCACAAGTGTGGCAAAAATCTTGATCTCACAAGTCACTGATATCTCTCACCCCGCCCTTCCGTCTCGAAGCCTGTCGGTCCCGCTCCCATCATTCTGAGAAAGGGGTCTGGACGACTTCTATCGAGGTATCAATTCTGGCTCACCTGGTGGCAGGCAAAGTACGGAAGAAATGGCGGCAATCACCAAGCTGGAGCACAATCCAGCCGACGAAGCCCAGATTGAAGCGGCTGCCACCGACGTCGCCGCCGCCACTACATCGACGACCACAGTGTCCAGAAAGAGTCCCTCGTTCTACCTGGCGGTTTTCGGCTTATGCATGGTGGCCTTGATCACCGCCTGGGACGCCACATCGCTGGCCGTAGCGCTCCCAGTGAGTAGAGAGCCATCCTGGCCGGCAGTTGTTGACGTTGACTTGCTGACTTGTCTGCCATCTGCGTAGACCATCACCAGCCAGCTTAATGGGACTACGTTCGAGTCTTTCTGGGCTGGAATCGCCTTTATGCTCGGCGTTGCCGTTACGCAGCCCATCTATGTCAGCCTTTCTGATACTCTGGGGCGCAAGCCGCCGCTCCACGTCTCGATGGCACTCTTTGCTGTCGGGGCAATCGTCTTTGCTGTTGCCAAAAACATGGCCACCCTCATCGCGGGACGCCTCATCCAGGGCCTCGGTGGAGGCGGCCTCTACGTGCTCCAAGACATCATCCTCGCTGATATAACAAGCTTGAAGGAGCGTCCTATGTACTTGGCCATAGTCGCTTGCGCCATGGCTTTGGGGACGGTGCTCGGCCCCATTATCGGTGGTCTGTTTGCGGATCACGCCGATTGGAGGTGGATTGGATGGATCAACCTCCCCTTTGCGGGAGTCGGCCTTGTCATCTTCATCTTCTTTCTCCGGCTGCGTCCTCTGCCCACGAGTCTCCAGGAAAAGATTGGGCGTTTGGACCTGTTCGGGATGCTCTTGTTTGCCGCTGGTGCCACTGCAGTGGCCTTGCCGCTTAGCTGGGCCGAGGCTTTATACCCATGGGCATCATGGAGAACGTATGTGCCACTCATCATCGGACTGTTGGTTCTCCTTGGGTTCGGCTTCTATGAGGGGAGGTTCCCAGTCGTGCCTATTGTGCCTTTTCGCATCTTCACCAACATTACCAGCATATCATCGTTAGTTAGCGGTTTTATGCATGGAGCGGTCATGTACACGACTCTTCAGTATCTCCCTCTACTCTTCCAGGCGGTATATCTGGAACAGCCTCTACAAGCGGCCAAGTCGACTCTGCCAGTGTGTGTCGCCACGGTAGTGTTTAGCTTTGTGGCTCCCATCATTATCGAGGTGACTCGCCGCTACCGGCTGCTTTTGTGGTCTGGCTGGCTTCTCCTAACCCTGTTCATGGGCCTTCTCTGCCTCATCGACCAGGACTCACCTCGAGCGCAGATTTATGCATTCCAGTGCTTGTTAGGTATGGGTATCGGTATTGTCTTTACAGGAGGCCAGGTCCCCATGCAAGCCAGTGTTGAGCATGTCGATAACACGGGCCTCGCAGTGGGGACGCTCATCGTGGTCCGCATTTTCGGTGCACTTGTTGGCCTCTGCATTGGATCGACTGTGTTCAGCTCCGTGTTTGCAAAATCGATCGCAGGGCTGGGGACCTTGCCTGAGCCCGTTAAGATCTTGGAGAACCCTACCCAGGCCATCGAGTTCATCCCTGCACTGCGGATGCTAGACTTGGACGAAGAGTTCATGAGGGAGCTTATTGATGCCTACCGCAAGCCTTTTGTGGCAATACAGATCGCCATGACATGTTTATCCGGGGTCGGGTTCTTAACCTCTCTCTTGATCAAAGAGCTCACGCTGGAGAGGGAAGAAGTAGGGAGACAGGGCTTTGAGGAATCGGATAGATAATCTTTGCCTACCCCCAACTTGGAGCAAGAGAACGACACATTCTTGAATCCATTAGAAGCGAAGACGTACAATTAATTCAGATCTCAGAGTCTGCCGTCTCGAACGGCCCACGACGGGAGTGCTCGCCTTTGTGAGTACACTAACAAAGTGAGGTGACACCCTGACCAAGCCGGGCCGCCCCGAAAGGTCCTCATCCTCGTAAATGGACCCCTCGATGGCCCTGGTAGTAGGTAGTATGACTTCGAGGTTATGAGCCCCAGTAAGACCATCCCAGTGATCTAACAAGGGTGCCTTGATCTGGTCCACCTTGGTTAGACCATTGTCAATCATGCCACCAACGACCAACCTCAAACAACAAAAGGACTTTTGTGTTGCCATGTAAATCTGACCTGCCAAGCTCCAAGGATCATGCATCCAACAAGAAGTGCCAAGTTTTGCCTTCTTGTCGACTCCTGGTCTTGGACAAGGAGGTATTGTGATTGATCATTGTATTCCCCGAGGCCTGTGCCCGAGGCATACATGCATGGTGACCGGCGCTCGTGCGGAACTACCTTCCCGCCAAGGTAAGGGGAATAGCCTGCAAGATACTCCCACGATACACTCCATGTGTGTATGAGACCGCCCTCGGCCACTAAATGAGACCCATAAGTTTCGGAGCAGATGTTGTATGCTGTACGGGTTGTCGATTCCTCTCTCTCTTGCCTCTTTCTTCTTCGTTTTTGCTCCTCTGCACAAAAGCTCACCCACACCCATCACCTACATTCTTGAAGCCTGAAATAAATTGTAAAAGAAAAATGTATTTCGAAACAATCAACAAGCAATGGGGGGAGGATCACCGCCTCAAGGGGTCCTCCATGCAGGATGAGCCGGCATTCTATCGGAACCTCGAGCAGGCCCTAGATGTCCGTCGCCAGTCCCAATACTTCCTCAACCTCAAGCCCCAATGGGGCAAAGAGGTCGTTGACTTGACGACGTCGGACTTCCTCGCCGTCAATCACTCTGGAAAGGTGCGTCAGCGTTTTTTGGATGAGCTAGAGCAGCACCCAGACTTTCGTCTGGGCGCCAATGGCTCCCGCTTGCAGTACGGCAACACGCCATACATCAACCAGGTCGAGAAGGAAATTGCCGACTTCCATGGCGCTGAGACGGCCTTTATTGTGGCCTCTGCCTATGCCGCGAATCTGGGCGTCCTTTCCAGCGTGCCGCTCGCCGGGGACGCGCTTGTGTACGATGAGCTCGTGCATGCAAGCAGTTTCGAGGGTTTCAAACTTAGCATGGCGATGCATAGGCTCCCGTTCCCCCACAATGACCCAGACGGCCTCCGTGAGGTCTTGGTGCGCCTCAAGAAAGACCATCCGGAGTTTGTGGCCGGCACAAGCTCCATCCTGATCTGCGTCGAGTCCATTTACAGTATGGAAGGCGACGTCTGCGAACTCCGTGAGCTGGTCCAAGTGGCCAAGGAAGAGTTTCCTCTGGGAAATGCACAATTCGTCATGGACGAGGCTCACAGTATCGGGGTGGTCGGTGACAAGGGGCGTGGGCTGGTGTCATACCTGGGCATGGAAGATGACATCGCGATTCGAGTCCATTCTGTGAGCAAGGCGTTGGGGTCGACCGGCGGTACGTTTCATGCCCCCGGTAACTCATGTTTCACTGATTCTAACAAACTCTCTCCATCATCAGGAGTCATCATGTGCAAGAAGACTGTCCGGTCCATGATGCTGAATAATGCACGGTCTCTCACATTTACGTGTGCACCGTCATTTCCTACTGTTTGCTCCGTTCGGGCTAGCTACCAACTATTGATCAGCGGAGCATTGCAAGAGGTAAGATGGTGTTCCTCTCACGGCTTATTTGAGGAATTGATTTCACTATTCTTTGGCTGTTCCCGTTATGTTCCGGTTTTCTGACTAGTCTCTCTTATACGCAGGCCCAGGAGAAACTACAAAGCAACATCAAGCGGTTCCTTACGGCTTTGACCGAGAACCCTGTATGGGACGAGGCAGTTGATGAGGGTATTCTCTCGATACCCACTCTCGAAGACTGGGAACGGCGTCCGTTTCAGACGCAAATCGTCCCCTTGTTCACGCGCGAACGCCACGAGACATACCTCTTCTTCCACCTACTTATGAGAAACTTCAACGCCTACCCCTATCAATCCCCCGTCGTTCCGAAAGGCAAGAGCCGGGTGAGAATAGTCTTGCATGCCTACAATACTGATGAACAGATTGATGAACTGGCTTCAACAATCTGCGATTGGGCGAGTGAAGTCCTAGATATTGACAGTGGCAAGGTAGAGGCCGGCTTGCCCACGGCTGCTCGGCAAGCGTATGCAATGCAGAGAGCCCTCCAGTCCTAGGAGACCCCTATAATCACACGTATTAAGCTTATCACTGTACTGTCCAAATAAGGCTAGAAACTGAAATGAATGGAAGTGTTTACTGAGCTGTTGGTCCCCCCTAGGAAGTTGTTGGCTTCTCGTATGCAACCAGTATGCAGTTGACCGTAAGGGGAAGGAAGTATTAGCCCCTTGATAATGGTGAAAGGTACGCACCCAATCAGCGCATTTTTGCAGACAATGTTGCATTCGTAATTCCCGTCAGGTGTCTCTGGCCAAAGACAGAATGAGGGTAGCTCAATCAACTATCAAGCGAAATTACGCCTATGGATGAGAACGGTTTTTTGCCACCAGCAACGCCGAGAGACAGAAAGGGAAATGTTGGCTCTGACTGCATAGATCCTACGCGGATGCGAGACCTTGCATGCCAAGTGCCTGACTTTCTTTCCCCGACGAGCGCCAAGTCCCCGACCACCCTGGCCGAAAGTCATGATGGATGGTCTGTTGCATGTATTGAATCCTGTATCACACCTCATTGGGAACGGGCCGATGTACTGTCAAAAAAAAAAAGTCCTGTGGTCTCCTAACGACCTGGCCAAGGTGGATCGTTGGATCGTTTTATCCTTGTAATATGCTGCAGCATGTTGCGACATGGCATTCCAAATGTCGACTGTTTCTCCCACTTATTCCTGGGGAACGATAAGCGGAACTTAGTAAGCTGGTTAAAAAAAGATGCAACCTTATGTTTATTGTAATATGTAATAGAGTGCTTGCTGGTTGCTTCCACATGTCGAATGCGCACATGTTCGTTCCCCCAATCCCTGAGCCACTTCCCAAGCGTTTGTATTCCGAAAGTTCTTTCACAGTGACAGCAGTGATCCGCCAAAAAGTTGCAATTAACATAATACACACCAATGGCATCGCTCGAGTTACTACATTTGCTCCCCCCAGAGCAGCAAGAAGCGATCCTCAACGGGCCAGCGCTGGAGCCACCGCCGAATGTAATACCAAACTTCATAGACCCTCCGAATGAAAATGGGTTGTTCATAGCGATCCTGACCGTCGGTTTGGCATTATCGACACTTGCGACGGCTCTCAGAGTATACACCAAGATATTTGTTACGCGAAGCTTGCAGGTTGAGGATAGTAAGTTTTGACCTCTGTTTTTGTGCTAGCTACAGTCTTGCTCACTCTCTTTCTAGGCCTCCTGTTTATTGCATTTGTTTGTCCAGCCTTGCCCGCAGAAATAATAGGGAAATACTAACAAAACTGCCCCAAGGGCATGTTTGTAGGCTTCGCGTACTGCTGCTACGATTTGATAATAAACGGAACCGGCTTCTTCGTTCACCAGTGGAATATCCAGATCAAGGCGACTCCAAATATCCTCTATGTTTGTGATACAGTGCCTTGATTCGTGCGGCGGCCAACTAATTACATACTAGCTTGTACACATAGCATCCAGCTTCTACGCGGTAGCGATGGGCTGTCTCAAAGTTGCCATCCTCCTCGAGTGGACGCGGATCTTTTCGCCAAAGGGCACCCGAGGGTGGTTCTGGGTAAGTTTCTTGACCGCTCTCCTGGCGTAACTCCCAACCTAACAAGTACAACCATTGACAGTATTCCTGCTGGGCCCTGCTCATTGTCAACGCCCTCTTCTATACCGGTGGCCTCATCGCCGGCAATTTGTCGTGCATACCGCACCAGAAGATCTGGAACCAGACACTTCAAGGGCATTGCATCAACCGAAAGGCCCTCGACACTGCCACGGCAGCCATCAACATTGTCTCAGGGCTTTTCATCTTGGCTCTCCCGCAAAAGGTCATCTGGTCCCTTAAGCTGAGCACCGCCAAGAAAATAGGCGTGTCTTCCGTCTTCGCAATTGGTCTCTTGTACGCCATTTCCAAGTTAACATGGGCCAAGGTTGGGCAGTTACTGACGAAAATATTTCACCTACCTGCAGTGCTGTGATATCCGCCATCTGTCGCCTTGCCGCCACGATCGACTATCTCCGCTCACCAGACGCAACTTACTACGTGTCCGCAACGGCCCTCTGGTGCGTCGCCGAGCAGACGTGCGCCATCCTCGTCTTTTGCGTTCCCATCATGCCCAAGGCGTTTAAAGATAACAAGTACTTCCGTCGCCTCCTCACCACCGCTCGCTCCTCGAAAAACACGTCCAAGGATATCAAGGACTGGGGCTCAGCTAGCCGGCAGGACCGGTACCGCCAGATTGATGGCGGGTATCCTCTTGACAGCCTCAACCAAGGGCAGGGGGCGCAGGGAAGATACGGCTCAAACGAGCGTCTACAAGGATCCGCGGACGGGACCGCTTGGCCCCAGAACGCCACCATCCCTCCGACTGAGTTCCAGAAGGTACAGCCAAAAGCCCCTGCATTGACGAGGAATGCCGCAATACCTTCATGGGAGGGAGGAAGATAATTATCTAATGTGGTCTGTAAGAGACGTAGCTGAGATGTTTTGTTCTACGCCTTTCTTATTCATTGTGTTGATACTAGATAGAGCATAAAAATTCGGCCTTTTCTAAGTTGAAGGATCACGTCATTTTGTATTCGGGGATCGGAATCTCCTTGTCGTTGCGCGTAGCTATCCGGATGACAGTCACTAGCTAGAAGGTTATTTGTTCTAGACTTGGCCCCCTGTCTGGGAACCCCCAAGGAGCAATATCACTCCACATTGTTCCTAACCACCCAGAACGTGTGACCAGCGGTTTTCTACTACAATGTAACCCTTCTGGTGGATGCGATGCCTGCGCCTCCATTGTTCATGCCATGGCGGCTAATAAGTCACGCTGCGTACATGTACCTACTTCAGGGATATCCCTGCAAGTCTAGACACACAAGTTGCATGGATTTGACGTGGGGAAACCGGACCTCCACCAACAGGGTCACAGTTTTATCAAACCTGTGGCTGGGCCAAGACTTGCCAAAAACATGGCATTGTTGCGTACGAGATGTGGAGAGGCCCTGCATCCTTCAGCTCACCTGTCTAACCAGAATCTAAACACACCGAGATACCAACTTCACTCTAAAATGGAATAACTTTAGCAATTTTGCATCGTCATTTATATCCATGTCAATATGTCAAGTTCAATATCTCTCATGTAACGTTGGTACCAAAATTCATCTTCGCAAGATCTCATTCACGCCTTGTCCTTGCCGAGCAATTCTAGATACTGGGCAGCAACATCTACTGCAGCCGTCTCAAAGGTCTTCAAAGGCCTCCCTAAGAATCGCTCCGTATCACCGCAATCATATGGTGCGGCAAAAGTATCTATCTTGCCTTTTGAGAAAATACCGTCAGCGACAGCCTTTGGGAAGGCCTTCTCAACAGAACCAAAGATGGTGCTGAAGTCAACTTCGGTAGATATCCCCCAGTTTTTGCTAATCTCCGGCGAAGTCGGGTCAAGGAAGGCAGCCTGAAGATGGAGTTTGCTCACATCATCAATGTGTGCAAAGCTGCCAGCTAATGGAAACGGGAGCTCGCCACCCACCATACCTAAGATAAAGTAGGTGTTGGAACTATTATTTGTTCGCATTTGAGTAGCATCGAGGATGAGCTCATTCCGGCCAAAAACGTAACCAGGGAAAATATGTGAAATAGTAAAGTGAGGCTTCTGGTTCTTGATAAAGTCTTCTGAGGCTTTAAGCTCAACCATTTTCCCGAGGACATATGCCTCCTGGACATTACTGAATGGAGGTATAACATCAGGGAGCACACCAGATGTGGTAGCAGAGGGGATAGATGAGGGCGGGGTGAGGCCAATGTTTGCTACAGTTGATGATGTGATGATGATTCGTTGAACACTGGGGGCCTTGAGTGCGGCAGCGAGAAGGTTTGCTGATAACTTGACGGTTGGCTCGAAGATTTCAGTTTTTGGGTCGAATTTCGGGTTGGTCACAGGTGACCCAACGTGAATAACATGTGTAACATTGTTATCTTTGAGGACATCGTCGAAGGCGTCGGCCAAAGTGGGATCTGGGATGACAATAGGGAGGAGTCGATCACCAGGTGCCAACTTCTTGACAGCCGGATTGGACAAAATAATCTGAGCCTTGTCTTCCGATCGAACGGTGAAAAAGACTTTATGCCCAGCAGCTAGGCTGTCAAGGAGGATTTGGAAACCAATGAACCCAGAGGCTCCAGTAATGAGAATTGTAGCGGCCATTTTGGTAGTGCGAGTTTTTCTAATCTCACAGGGGGAGGTTCCACGATAGGAAAAGAATGCAGGTACTGCTTGATGTTGAGAAGAAGCTTTTATTTGAGGGCTGGATTATTGAAGAGAAAAGCAGTTGGCACAGCTGGAAGGGGGCTCTGAGAGGTCTTTATATACCTATGTTACTAATATCTAGCATGTAATTATTTAATATAGGGCTGAATATATTAAAATTATATTATAATAATTAAATTACTAAAATTTAACAAACCTATTAAGTATATTTTTTAAGAAAGTTTTAAATTTTAAATTTTTAATATTATTTTTTTATAAAACTATTATAAAGTTTATAAAGTAATTAATCTCTATATATTTTAAAACTAGTTTTTAAATTAATATATAATAATATTTTATAATTAGTTATTCTGATTTTCTTTAAGTATTTCTATAATAATAATTAATATATTATAATTTTAAATATTATTAAATTAGCTTTATTTATACAAATCTGAATATAATATTTACGAAATATTAGTAATATTATAATTAGCTATTATTAAAATATTAGAAACTCTTTAATAGTAACTAATATATTATACTTCTAAATATTATTTACTTAATCTTATTTTAGTTAATAATACGCCCTCTTTGTTACGCCCAGTCTGGCCACAACCAGGCTGGCGCCGTAGACAGGTTCTGCGAAGTTGGCTGCAGGGTAGCCGGGTTCTGGAAAGCTGTGGTTGAAACCTACCTAGGTTCATGATATCTTCACTTGTGTATGGGGTAGTATGATCTAAAGGCTTTTTATTCCTCTATCTACTGGCTAGAAAACAGCCCTTTTATAGGGGACTCTGCATAGCCCCTGTTTGTGGCATGACACTCTTTGGACAATATTACAAGCCCTAAAACTATCAAAGCAAGCTTTTCTTAGGTTGTGGAAAGATGAGAGAGCCTCTCATCGATGCCATATCCTCCAGCAATGATACCATTGCGATATGCATGCCTGCCTCCTTTGCCTTTTGTACCCACTCACTAATCTCCATCTCCTCCACAACCGCCTCGCCCTTCTCATCTTCGGCCCAACCGCGCACATCAGTGAGAGATAGCTCCAACTCACCAAGATGGTGCAGAAATTGTAGATGCACGCTCTTGCTATCCAATCGTTCCACCTCATCCATAATCCCGTTGGCGACAACCTCAAGGGGCGCAATATTAAACCCGCCGCTCAGATTCAATCCTTCAGGAACCTTGGGAAGGGCACCAATTATAGAGCTATACCGGCTCACACTCTTCACAAACTCGAGACCCTGTACTGCCGTGGCCTCAGAGCCGAGTTGCGCAATTGAGCTGGGTCGGTGAATCACCACCGCTATCCCTGGCACTTGTTCACTGAGCTTCTCCAAGAATACTTCACTTGCCCACTTCGTACAGATGTACCCATAGGCTTGCTTGTAAACATGTGTGGAAGACATGGTGTTTGGAGGAAGGCATCCGGCCATAGAGGTAGGGTTAAACTGAACTTGACCTGTTCCTGCGTCGTTGGGAACGTTTTGCGCCAGCGTGAGAAGGTTGCCGACGGATATTGTGCTGACGAAGTGGAATGAAGCCTTCTCGATTTTCCCGTATTGGACGAGCATATATGCAAGCTCCTTTGTCGACTGCAGATTGGTAGCCCGAAGAGTAGCATACGTCTTAAGATACGACATATCGGCGCTGTTGTGGATGATGAGGTCGGTCTGGGAAAAAATGGTAGCTGCCTCGTCTTTCGATAAGCCGAGGCGAGGTAGATTCATATCGCCCTTGTATACCGATATTTTATTCTCGTTTACATCAAGCTTTAGTTTGCTGGGAGTCCGGACTCCAACACAGTGCACGTGCTGTATAGACGATGAGGCAACAAGAAGCTCAAGTAAAGCCTTTCCAAGCTGCCCAGTCGCGCCAGTGAGCACCACTACGCGGCGAGGATTTTTCAAATTGTCCAACGCTTGCCCCTTATTAGAGTCATAATCTCGATATGCATCCAGTAGCGACGATGGCAGAGCAGTTTCCTCCGCCCAGTCGATGATGTCAGCCTGGTAGGGCTCTTCTTGGGTCCCACGATCAATCCAATGTGCCATGAGATTCAACGTGCTAAACTCAAACATACGCAAGAGGGGCATATCAATGCCAAAGGCCTCCTGGATGCGGTTTTTCAGATCGAGGAGAAGCAAAGATGAACCACCAGCATGGAAGAAACTCGTCTCCGAAGTAATGTTGTACCGCAAACCAACCACTGCTGCCCAGATATCTCGTAGTCGGATCTCGGTACTTGAAAGCACCTCATCCGGCCGACGATCGTCCCTAAATGACTTGTGGTCATATTCTGGTAGAGTTAGCTTGGAAATCAGAATGCGGTCCAGTTTACCGGCGCTGGTCAACGGCACTCTATCGAGTTGAAGGATGACAGCAGGACACATGTAGAGGGGCAATCTCTCGCCCAGACGAGACTGAATGGCACGGATACGCTCCCCTGGATCAAGGCAAGACGGATCCAGGACAACGTGGGATACAAGAAGAGTTGTTTTACTGGATGAAGGTTTCCTGACCGAAACAACCGCTTCCACTACTGCCTCATCAGAGGCAAGAATTGCTTGCTCGATTTCTGCGAGATCGATTCGCGCGCCGCGAAGCTTGACCTGAGTGTCAATCCGGCCTTCTATCATGAGCATGCCGTCTTCTCTTCGCCACCGACCCACGTCGCCTGTTCGATGCAAAGTAGTCCAGCCGTGGAGTTTGTCGTCGTCCGTAGCGAATGGGTTAGAGACAAACTTTGCTGCGGTAAGCTTCTCCCTATTGTGATATTTAATAGCGATACCTGCGCCACCCAAGTAAACCTCCCCCTGAACGCCTTTCGGGACTGGCCTAAGTTGACTATCGACCACATATACTGAGCAGTTGGGGTGTGGGAAACCAGCCGCGACAGGGCCAGCGATTTGGCAATCCAGAGGGATGCGCATACCCGTCACTGTTTTGGTAGCCTCGGTCGGCCCGTAGATGTTGTACAGCTCAAAATTGGAATGATCCTGCGATGCCAGCTTTACAAGATATTCAGTCAAGTCTTCACCTTCGCAGAATGCCCTCTTCCAATTGTCATTAGCCTTGGGCATTTGTCGCTTTCTGTGTTGTAGCCAGCCTGTCATCTCTGTCGGTGTAGCGATGGTAAAGGTGACTCCATATTCCTCGATTATTTTGCAGACTGCCTCGGCGTCGGCACGATGCTCTCGCGGAACAATGCATAGTGTTCCGCCATAGCAAAGTGCTATGAATACTTGCTCCAGTGAAATGTCGAACACGGGCGTAGTTTGCTGGAGAACGATTTCTGGTCCCAAATCGTAAAGACTTGCAATGCTTCCCTCAGCCCAATTTCGCAGGCTCTCATGCTTCAATAGTACACCCTTTGGGGTCCCTGAAGAGCCGCTGGTGTAAAACATGACCGCTGGGCCATTTGCGACCGCCTTGATGGGCACTGGTGCGGAGTGATCGTTATGGTGAGGGACCTGCAAGAAATGAATCTGTGGCGCGCCCAGGGCCTGGAAAAAGCCCGCATCGTACTTGTCGACTAGAACTGCAGAAGGCTGACAGTCGTCGATGATGGTCGACAGTCGCGTGGGAGGATGAGATAAATCGAGTGGGAGGTAGATAGCACCCAAACGCATGACGCCCAGGACTGATGAAATCCAAGACGGGCTTGGCTCTAGTAATACGCCAACCACTGAACCTTCAGAGACGCCTGTGGCTTGCAGTGTGGCGGCAATAGTATTCGCGTTGGCTAGAATCTCCCCATATGTGCGTGATATACCCAAGTGGCGGACGGCTATTTCGTCTCTTCGCGTTGCTGCTACTTCCTCTATCTTATGAATGACCGACTCGGGCCACCGCCGAGGTGAGAATGGACCTAAAATGTTGATGCTGACGGTTAGACTTCTATCTCTAACTTGGATGATCAAGGGATCAGCATACCTCTGCTAATACTCAAAGCGCTCGCTATATCGCGCTGATCAAAAAGACCAGGTTGTTCAAGCGTCAAAGTAGCATCCCCAACGAAAGCTTTCACCAATCGCTCGTAACTATCCAGAAGCATCTGTGCCCCTTCCTGCCCATATAAATCCTCGCGTACAAGAAGCGTTTGTACGCAGTCTCCTTCGATGAAGTCCACCATTTCAAACGTCAAGTCGTAAGGTTGCTTTGAAATATTGACATCAATGGAGTGAATGGTCAAATCTCCCTGGGCATCTCCAAAATTCGTGCTGTTCAGGAGGCCCTGTCGATAATTGGTGAAGCACTGATACAACGACGGATGTGACGGAGATGGAGTGATATTGAGCCTGTAACGATCATGTTAGAAAGACCGTGTTTCTTTTCCAGTCTTGATGAAACTAAAAACTCGATAGAGTTTGGTATAGATGACTTACTCTTGAAGAAGCACCTGGAAGGGCACCTTGGAGTGGCTAATTGCCTCGTACGCCTTCTCTCGTGCTTGCTGTAGAAGATCCGAGAATTTGGTAGAACCTTGGGTACAAAGCCGGACTGGGAGAAAGTTGACAAATGGACCCAAAACGTCGAGCATCTCGTCCTCGGTGCGATTGGCATCTCCTATACCTATGCACACGTCTTCTCCATCACCGGCAGGGGAGTATCGTAAAAGCAGGACCCTGAAAACAGAGAGGTAAAAATGGAAAGGTGTGATCCTGTGTTTCCTGCAAGTATCTTGAACCTGCTTTTTCAGTTGCGTGCCGATTCTCAGAACGGCCTGTTTGTTTGCATACTTGGCCAGATCTGGTCGTGAAGACGATGTTGAAAGAGTAAGAATCGGAAGCGGGGGTGGCATCGGATTAAATTGCTGTTTCCAGAATTGCAAGTCTTTTTCAAAGCGGCCCTGAGCATAGTCCGCATGCTGCTGGTTGGAATAGTTCGAGTATTGCCGAGGTAGGTGCATATTGAGGGTCAGTTTGTGTGAACTGGCAGCATATAATTCCTGGATCTCTTTGATCATGATGATGGCCGTCATCCCATCTGCGACCAGCGGATGAAAGCCAATGACGAAGAAGTGCTCCGTGGGCGACAAGGATAGCAAGTACGACCGAATAGTCTGCCCTATGGCAATGTCATAGACCCATCTGTCTTGAAGATTTTGAACAAGTTGATAGACCTCTTCTTCCCGGCTCACTTTCCTTACTTCGAATGGAAGATGAGATTCGGCCATTACAGCCTGAACAGGCTTGCCGTCTTGTTGAATAATACATGTCCGTAGAATCTCATGCCTTGAGATCATGGTTACCCAAGCGGACTCAAAATCGCCAACTTGGACTTGTCCCGTAACTCGACCCCAGGCAGTATGATTCAAACTGCTCTTGTCTTCGAGGAATGACCAAACAAACCAGAACATGTCTTGACTGTAAGATAATTTTGAGGTCTTTACAAATTTAGGCTGCGAAGTGACAACTGACTGTGACGGAACGGCAGGTGTATCATCAGGTTGAGTTGTTTGATCCTGGATGCTGCTGTTGGAATCATTGGTATCATCCAGAGACTCATTGACTTCGATCCCAGAGTCATGGCCTGCAGAATTCGGCTCCTCTACCGACGTCTTCTCAACGACGGCTCGGTCTGCCCCTTCCTCTGAAACCAATCCAGGAACAAGTCTATCCGGGATAGTATCGGCTGCAGTTTTGATTAATTCTGCGACCGTAATCCCACCCAGTATTTTCAGAATAGGAATGTTCACTTCGAGATTCGTCATGAACCAACTACGAATCTCGACTGCCATCAATGAGTCTATCCCCATCTCATCAATCCTCTTCTGGATTAACTCTGCCAGGTTCATCATATTTTCATCCATCTGGAATACGCTATACAGCTTTTGGGTAAAAGCTTCAGTGATCATGCCAGAGACCTGCGCTCGCGTCTTTGCCTGCGCCAGCTGTACCTTGAATGGAAGACTGACGTGATTGCCGGCTCCTTTATTTGAACTCTGATCCGGGCTTCTGACAAAGTGACGCATCATTGGCTCAGTTCCCCAGGCCGGAGGCTCCGGTTCATCATACGCAATTCTTCCTAGACCGCTCACGAGTTCGATCGAGTCGGCCCCGGAACCTGGGCGGCCTGCAACCACTGCTTCGGCAAAGAGTTGATAAAAGTCTCGCTCGGCCGTGGGGATCAAACCCGATGCTTTGAGTCTGGTTGGCGTGTAGATGTCATCTTGCTGCATCGTTGCATAACCGATGCCAAATACGGCACCTAGATGTATGATGGACCCTGCTAAGCCCTTTCGCCGACGTTGCTCTGCAAGAGCTGCCATGAACATGTTGGGGGCGCTGTAGTTGGCTTGTCCAGGTCGCCCTATGACGGCAACAACAGAAGAAAAGAACACGAAGAAGTCTATATTGTTTTGTTGGAATAGATTGTTTAGATGTACGCTGCCCTCGACTTTGGATCTTGTACCAGTGAGGAATTTCTCGAGTGTCATGTCCCGAATTGCCACGTTTTCGATTACCACTGCGGTGAGGAGACCTGGTCAGCAAAACCAATAAACTTTCTTCCAGGCAGCGAAGAGAGAAAACAAATGGAAAAAGGACAATGATACCATGGATTGACCATAAATTTACACGGATAGAACCCAGGGGGGCGTAAGGGAACTTAACCTACTTGAACCTTGAAGGACACCTCCGATAGGAGGAAGTGTTTCGCAAATCTCTTGGTATACGGCGACCACTCGGTCCTTGTTCGTGATATCGCTGCTGCAGGTAAGCAATACTAATACAAGGATCACCTTTGTTGGCGAAAACTTACCACGGGGAAATTTTGATCAGGACACCTTTGCGATGCATGCTTTGAATCCACGATGGATCAATCTTGGGAGTCCGGCTCGAAACAACGAAATACCTTGCCCCCCGTCGCGCCATCCATTCACAGAGCGCAAGACCAAGGCCTTTGCTAAGGCCAGCGAACCAGTACGACTTGCGGGCTGAAAACTTGATTTGCGTATCCATTGGCCGAACCTGAACGCCGAGTTTAGATGCCACAGTCCAACAAACGCACGAATAGGGAACGGTGTTAGCAGCACTGGCGTCTGGTACCGCGTCAATAGAGAGCACGGGCACTTCGTCGTGTGCCCTTGCGCCGACTTCCGCTATATGTACCGCTGCGTAGGCCACGGCTTCTTTGAGTCGTTTGGATACTTCTCTCATCAAGTCATCGGATGGATTCTTCCCGGTGTTCATAAATAAGGTATTTAGACTTTCTCGCCTGCACAGGCGAGGGAGGAACTTGTCCAGACGATTGAGGATGAACTCATTATCCGGCAAACCCAGGTAGTTGATGAAAACGGACGTGTTGGGAGGTATGACGCTTGAAAGTTCGTGTTCCGAAGCGGACTGGTGAATAAGAATCCAGTTCTCATCCTTACTCTCTACAGCTTTTTCGGCGCTCATTGTGAGAAACCTCAAATGCAACCCGAGCTCTTTGGACTGATTCGCTAATGTGGAAGCGAATACTGCACTCGGTTCAAACACCACGACCACATCAGAGGAGTGCAACCCCCGGGTAACAAATACAGTCAACAGATAGTTGGCAACCAGCGATAAATATTTGCATTCATCGCCTTCTTGCACTGTAGCCTGAATAGAAAGAGTCTCAAGGGGGAGCGCACGAGAAGAGCACTCGGTTGACAATGCGATTAGTCTCTGTCCAGAGTTCTCTCGTTTCCCAACCATAACAAACAGGCAGTCAAACTCAGTGACACGAACAGCTGAAAGAAGAGAATGGCTGGTCTCTATCTGGACGGTTGATTCGAGGCCATCGGGAGCCGGAAGTGCATCATGACCCAGGTTATAGTAGCCTAAAGCGCCATTAGATGATTTTATATATACGTCTTTGACCCGATGATCCAATTTGATTGTGATGGGCCGGCCTTGAGAGTTGTATCGGTCATTCATATATCGACAAGTAATGAGCCGAGGAACAAGGAAACGGCCCCGTTGGTCAATCACCAATTCTGCTTCAGCAGGAGCAATGCTTGCACCTTGTTTGCGCCAAAACACCTGAGCTTGGAACCGTAAAAGACCCTCCACAAGCATATAGGGGTCAACAATCTTGGTTCCTTCAAAGTCAAGCATCTGCCAGTCGAGAGTGAGTGCCTCACGAACGACGGAACGGATCAGTCCGGCCATCATTGTTCCAAAGGGTGATTCCGCGCGTCTTCCGGCTGTCACCCAGAACAAGGATCCGGCATTCATTAATAGACTTCGCAATGTATCCCAGTCGTGGCTGGAGATATTCTCAAGCATGGGACCATCGAGCTGCGCAAGACCCAGGAGAGTCGTCTGAGGTGATACGGTCTCAGTTGATACGTGTGCCAGTGTAGGAGCCACCCTTACCCTCCCCGAATACGGCTTCAAAAGGCCTGCAATACGTTGGATTAGCCTCGCTGTCCGAAGCTGGGCCCCTCCCAGGATCAGCAGGTCCTCAAGAAGCTTCGTTTCAGCGAACAGCCCATCTGAGGACGTGGATAACGGATCCCGCATAAAGGTCAGCTTCTCGTCCACGGCCTGAGACGTGAAAACAGTAAAATGGGAGAGACAGTTTCCCTCTGTAGCTTGCTGAGATACTGTATCGCAGCCAGAGAATCCCGTCTCAAGTAGTAACTCATTCCACTGTACCGGGTCTAATAGCGCCGGAGATGCCCTCTTCTCATCTCCTTCCTCTTGATCCCATGACTGAGACGCCTCCAGGATAAGACGGTATACGTAAGAGTGAGAAGGGAGAGCCTCAAGCACCACCAATTGTCCCCCGGGTCGTAGCAGAGTTCGGGCACTTCGGAGAGCATATTTGACATTGGGCATGGTGTGAAGAGTGAGCGCGACGATGATTACATCATACGATTCTTTTGCAAAGCCTTGCTTTGAAGCATCCTCGGCAAGGATTAATTTTTTGAAAGAGAGTTTTTCGTGATGCGACATCCTAGTTTTAACGGCATCAACGCAGTCTGCGGATGAGTCAGTACAAGTGTATGATGAAAAAGCTTCACCAATCTGGCCGAGGATAACCTCAATCGCGAGACCTTCTCCCACTCCAATCTGGAGCATGCTCATATGCGGGTTACGGTGGGTGAGCTGCCTCACTACCTCTGCAAGAAGATCGTAGTAAATGCTCGGACCGATCGTCTCTGCGCAAAAGCGGCGCTGGAGCTGCGCGTCCCCCTCTAAATGAGGCTTGTCGTCGATGATTCTGAATGATAATATTTCACAAGCCTCCCGAAGTATTTTAATATCGGCAACCTCGTTTAAGTGGCCCAGCGAGAGGACCAGATCCTCGTATGTGTCGCACTTCCATTCAGGATTACGAGCCTGGACAAGCGCCCTAGCTTCATTTGCGAAAGTAAGAATTTGAGAATGCAATGTTTGGGAACGCGCTGGGAGATTCGTTTGCATCTTTTGTTCAAGTTGTTGGAGGAAAGAAAGGGATAGCTTTTCAAGGGCACCAGCGATTTCCAAATGTCGTGGAAGGGTCAAAGACTCGACAAGGTCCATGCTTTCAGCATCCGGTTCGGCCACATCCCAAATCATCTTGGCAAAAGCTTCCTTGTCATCTTGGGCGGTTACCGGGGCGAGAGGGACGCATTGAAAACCGCAGACTTGGAGCAAAGCGCTGTTGGAAGAACAGTCGCCGGGATAAACGGCGATGGTGCCATCTGTCGTGAGGGCATCCGGGTGATTAGAGGCGAGGAATCGCAAAAGGCTTCCCTTTTTAGCCTTATTTGCACATAGGTAGGGATTAAAACTAATCCGCCGGATCATCTTGGGGACTTCGATGCGTTTTAACTGGCCGTCTTCGGGATAAGAACGAGCGAGATTGATGGCTTGGAATGCACTGTCCAAGAGTGCGGGGTGGCATATCAACTCTGACTCCTCTATGCTCTCAACAGTTCCCGCTGCCCAGCCAAGCTTCCTTTGGGCGCTCGACATACCGCGGAAAGCACCTTCCCACTCATAGCCCACACCTCTCGAGGCAGAGTAGAACTTGTCCACGTCAACTGGGAGCATGTTCGGTGGCTGCATTGGATGTGTTGGCAGGGCATTTATGGAGGGCTCTCCTATAGCAACGTGAACACTGGCCTTCACCATCAAGCTTAATCCGCTATCCCCTTTGACTTCACCACTATGATATGTAAAGTTCGCAGTAACCGAGCCTGGAGTAGAGCACCTAATGTCTACCATGGAAATGATGACTTCAAAGGAGGAATCCTCTAGATCAAATACAAGGGCCTTTTCAATGTCCAGATCAATAATCTCAACAAGACGAGCAGATACTGCCAATTTCTTACACATGGCCACAGCTGCCTCCAAGGCGGTCACAGCGTATGCAGCTCCAGGGAAGACCATCTGCCCCTGTAGTTTGTGGCCACGGATCCAAGGAAATTCAAACGGGCGTAGAATGTGCCGCCAGTGCATAGCCTGCTTGTTAGAATCGGGTCCCATGTGGCCAAGAAGTTCGTGGACGCGGTCTGGACGGAGGCGATACGCCCTGGCCTGCCTGGACTCCGTCCAGTACTCCTGTTGGTCCCAGTTGTATGTCGGAAGTCCTTTGAGTAGTTTGCAAGGGGAAGATTCGCCAGCAACAAAATTATCGTATGCCTGTAAGTTGACAGCATCTCGTCCAAGATGCGCCCAAATACAGCCCAAACCGTCAGCCACGGACTCTATGGCTGAGGAACCCCGACGGAAAATACCCGTGTATGGCACCACCGACGTTGACAATTCTTGGATAGATTGAAGGGCCGGTCCTTTGAGGGCAGGGTGAGGTCCGACTTCGATTACCAGGTCAAATTCTTCGGCCATCTTCCAAGCCTCTGAAATTGCCCGGCTGAAAAGCACCGGTTGGGTCATATTAGTGTTCCAGTACTCGCCCTTCAAAGCACCGTGTTGGCCAGTCATGCACTTGCCATCCAACACGGAGGAGAACCAGGTTGTCTGATTTCCATCCTTGGGTCTGATGCCAAGAGTGGAAAGTGAATCGAGATAAGCAGAAGCACAAGCGTTCATATGGTACGAATGATAGGCTGTATCGACCTTCAAAAGACGGGCAAACTTCTTCTCGTCGCCAAGAATCACCTGCATCTCTTCAATAGCATCCCTATCACCAGATACAGTGACGCTCGCAGGAGAGTTGACAGCGGCAATAGACAGACGCCCACGCAAAGCTGGATCATCGCATAGCTCTTGGATATCCTCCTCTGAAGATCCTACTGCCATCATCGCACCAGGGCTCTTGCCCGAAGCCAGCCTGGCATGAAGACCCCTATAGTACGCTATGCAGATAGCCTCGTCGGACGAGAGGAAACCAGCAGCGTGTGCAGCGGCAATCTCACCAGATGAGTGTCCGACGACTGAATGAAATGTAACCCCAGAGGCTCGCAGTAGATCGACTTGAAGAATCTGAATGGCTGTACAGAGCGGCTGTGATAAACTTGCCTCCCCAATTCGGGAAGTCTCTGGTGTTTTGAGCAGTTCTTCCATGAGCGACCATTCCGGACGGTCTGATTCTGGAAGGCAAGCTAGCCGCTTCTCAAGTTTTGAGATGATTCCAGCTGCTCTTTCCGAACCGTGAATCAATTCAGACCCCATTCCGGCCCATTGTGCGCCCTGTCCAGTAAAGATGCCGAGGAGACGTGGCTTGTGTAACACCTGGTTCTCCTTGCGCTTCAATTGTACCACGGCGGAGGTTTTGCCATCCTCTCGTACGCCCTTGAGTTTCTCCTTGACCCCCGCAAGGAGAGTTTCCACCGTGCTCGCTGAAAACGTCGCCGCGTATGGTAAGCGTGTACGGCGACTGTGCAACGTGTAGGCCAGATCACGCAGCCGGAATTTGTGAGAGTTTGCTTCCAAGTAGGCGCAGAACCGCTTCAAATAAGCAACAAGGGACGATGCAGAGGATGCAGAAAAGACAAACGGTGTATAAACCACATCTGGACTGCTTGTCTCCGGATTTTGCTCTGGGTTGTAGCTTTCTAAGATGGCATGGGCATTGGCTCCTCCAAATCCGAAGCTGGGCTCATGTGTTAGCAAGCGGTAATTTTCCCTGGTCGTCGGGGATGGAAATCTGATTGGGGACTATGCTCACCTATTTACACTCACACGTCTTGGGACGTTGTCGGGTAACAACGGCCAAGGCGTCTGCGCAGTGGACAGCTTCAAGTTGTCGTAGAACGGCTCGATGCGCGGGTTCAGCTTTTCAAATAACAAATTTGGGGGGATCATGGCGTTCTGCAGAGCCAAGGATGCTTTGAGAATACCGGCAAGACCTGCTGTTCCTTCTGTGTGACCAACAACTGTTTTGATGCTGCCGACAACCAGTTTCTGGAAATTCTCAATAGGTGTTCCATTCGGCCGCAGGTCTGACGAAAAGAAGGCATTGCTAATAGCCTCAGCTTCCGCCGCATCCCCGGCAAGCGTGCCCGTTCCATGGCACTCAAAGAATTGAGGCCGATCCGCCGGATGATTCAAGTCTAGGCCAGCTCTAGAATAGCAGTCTCGGATGAGCTGTGTCTGGGCCTCATGGTTTGGCCTATAATTCTTCCACCATTAGTAACTGGAGAAACATTTGGTGCTAGGGCCGGGGAAGGTAGAGCTCCTTACGCGGTAATGCCCTTGGTCTTCCCATCCTGGTTCAGCCCAGTCTCTCGAATGATGCATTCAATTTGGTCGCCGTCTTCTATTGCCGACTGCAGCGTCTTGACAATAACTGCAGCAATAGCATCACCTCGGGCGTAACCGTCGGCACTAGCATCCCACATCCGACACCGTCCGCTTGGCGATAGCATGCTGAGCATGCCCAGGGAGAGAAAATCCTTTGGGTCGAGTAGAAGATTCACCCCTGCAGCAACAGCCATTCGCGACTGTCCCGTCCGAAGTTGCTGAATGGCTTGATGAAGGGCCACCAAGCTCGAACTACATGCCGTGTCAATTGTCATTGACGGCCCATGCCAATCATAAAGATAGGAGATCCTATTGGAAAGCATAGCGCGTGCGGTGCCAGAAGCGAGATATGTTCCAACAGGGGCGTCTGTATCTCGTGAAGTGATCTGTTCGTATTCTGCGAGCATTTGGCCCGTATACATGGCCGTTTGAGATCCCCGAAGGTCATCCACATTCTGCCCTCCTGCTTCCAAAGCTTCGTAGATTACCTCGAGGAGAAGACGGACCTGGGGGTCTAGACATTTTGCCTCAGCTGGGTTGATGTTGAAAAATGGGGCGTCAAATTCACGTTCTCCTTCGATGAAGTAGGCCTCTTTGACATTAAGATGACCGTGGTATTGACTCTTATCGTGGTAGAAGCCTTTCGCATTAAATCGATCTTGCGGAATTGGTATCGCCAGTTGCTTAGGGGCGCGTAGAATGTCCCATAGCTGGTCAGGAGACGATGCACCGCCAGGGAAACGGCAGCCAGACCCAACGATGGCAATAGCTTGGTGCTCTGACATAATGGCCTGACAAGCCTTTTTTTTTGCCTGTGGTCCACCAAGTATGCTTATGTGGGTGGGATAGCAAAAGCTCAGGATATTGAGAACAAGGCACTTGAACAGTCGAAGGAATCTGGAGAGAAACTTCTTGGCCTATCTCTGCTGGATCTTTACGGCGTCATATCCTTCATTCATAGCCTACATATACTTTCTGCAATCCCCAAGTGCTTCTTACTTAATGCTATGCGAGTAATTTGCACTTGTGATTCTGCCTCATGGACCAACATGCGTCTTAGCAGCAAGGTAGGGTGCGTTCATGATGTTGCCTGGGGGTGGTAGGAGTCAATGATAATCGACACTAATATGCGCTTATTTTGTGGCTGCTCACGATTGGTTGAGAATCTCGGCTTTTCAAGCTGAATGGTGTGCATGGAAGGATTGTGCGTTATAATGACCTTGTCTTACAGAAGTACCAATGGTATGAATCTTCACTCGGCCATTACGAATTTTGGTTGAGATGAAGGTGGAGACCCGCCTCTTTGAGCCAAGGCAAGTAACAAGAGAGTTAAATAAATAAATGAGTAGTCTATATAGTATAGTTATTGGGTTATCTTTATATCTAAAAACTATTATTATCTTTATTTAATATATATATATATATAATATTTATTCTAGATTTATTTATAAATATATTATATTTTATTTCTATAATTATTTATTTAATTATTTTTTCTTCTAAAAGTAATTTTATTAAATTTTATATTTCTAATATTTCAGATAGAAAATATTTAGTAAATTACTATTCTTAATTAAGTAGCTATCTAATCAAAGAACTTACTGGGTCGCATTGAGAGATTTCCCCGGCCTGTATCCTAGCTTTTGTGATAGAGAACTATTATTGGGTTGCAATAAGGCAACCTGAGGGTGGTGCTCCGCCATTAATTGCGAACCAATATTATGGTTTCATCGTCAAGCTAAAGCTGCAAGAAATCACCTGAGTGCCCCTAATCCAGCCGTCTAGGTTTCTTTGAGGTGGAATCTACTACTTGATGTGCAGGTCAGCACTAGAAGAGAATGCCTCACTACCTTATCTTGATGCTCCGTTGTCCTCTATCGAGGGAGGGATCCAGGCATGGGGCGGGTAGCATGGGGCGGGAACTAACAACGGCACGTAGGGGGTTGTATTTGGAGTGGGTGGGGGGGGAAAGGATGTTGAACCATGCTAGTCTATCAGCTGATGGCATAACAGTAGATCGGGATCTTCTCAATGACTCTTCTAAAACATACACGACTAGAAGAGGAAATGATAGGTGCAGAACGTGTGGTAATGAACGTCAGTAATCCTAAAGCGTAGGTAGTGCTGCCAAGGAATGCCTTTTGCTGGCATGCACACCAATTCATGTAGGAATGTGGCGGTGGTTGGTTCCAGATTCATGAATCAAAGTGTGACTAGCAACGTCCGGCTGAATATGCATGTAAGATTTGAAAGTTCTGCTGACAGTCAACCAAAGACATGCATATCTATTTTCAGTACCACTAAGTGATGCTACTATCCCTCTTCGTAGTCTTTCGGTTCACATGACTGTTTCTGGGTGTATAATAACCAGATCCTGTAGGGCTTAAGTGGGTGGCGACTGATGACTTCTTCATCGCCAGCTGCTGGTCGCTGTCTATCAGTGGTTTCTCCCCTAGTGATCTGACCAGCTCCCATTGCATGATTCAGCTAAGCTATTACCTCTAGAGGCGATTTCTCCTTTCTTTTTCAGCATCAATTCGCTCACGCCAATCGATCATTTGCTGTCATTCTGCACTTTGAGGAACATCTTCTTCATTTGTCCCTCTATTACCCCTTATAATACCAATTCAATATGACGTTCAACGTATACAACAAAACGGAGGATGGAGCATACTTCACGTTACTCATAATCTCCATCCCAGTCACAATCTTAGCCATCGTCCTTCGTTTCTCCGCCACGAGATCCACTGGCAGAAAGCCTGCGATGGAAGACTGGCTCGCTCTCGCCGCATTAATTGTTTTTTTGGCGAGAGTAGGTGTCGCTTTAGGTGGTATGTTTTCCTTTGTACTCCCTATCATGCTCAAACCAGCCACTTACGGAGGCAGCGAATATCATCGCCAATGGCCGGGGAGCTATGCTAGCCTTTGATAAACCAGAATATGAGTTGGTATTCAAGGTAAAAGATGCCGCCAAGAAATTCCTCACAAATAAACTGCCTTTCATCGTCTCCTCTGAGCTAACGAGTAAATTGGCTAGCTGGCCTTTGTCGCCGACATGATCACATTGCTCGATCAAACCTTAGCCAAACTGAGCATCTGCGCTTTGTATCTTCGGCTGTTTGGCGTCAAGCGGAGCAATAGGATCTGGGTATACATTCTCGCTGCTCTACAGATATTGAGCTACCTCGTTCTTGTTATACTGCAACCACTACAATGCAGGCCGATTAACAAATTCTGGCAATACTGGGCCGAGGGAGAGTGCCTATCATTTTCAGTCATTCTCGCTGCCGTTGAGCCGCTCAATTCTGTTATCGATTTCGCCCTCGTCATTCTGGCTATCTTTATGATCCGGTCGCTCAAAATGAAAGTGGATGCGAAATGGAAGTTGTGCTTTCTTTTCGGTCTTGGGAGTTTGTATGTGACTTCGGTAGTCCCACACTCCTCCTCTATTTCTATAAGAGCACATATTCTAACAGTTATCTAAACGTAGAGCTGGGATATTTGGATTCGTTAAGATGGGTCTTTCATATGACTACAAGCCAGGTATGCAGTCCCCCCAACGACAAATGTGATTAGACCCTGGGGTCGATCTCTAACCTGTAACTATCCAGAAACAATTGTCGTATTGGGACTCTGGGCTGTGGTTCAATCCGTCGCAGGCATCATCTGCTGCTGCGCACCTGTGTTCAGGCCGATGCCAATAGTAACTATAGCCTGGGACGGTATCAGATCTAAGCTCAGCAACTATAGTCTTAGAAGCCTACTCACGAGCAAGTCTAACACTGTTGGTGCTAGTGGGGTTGGATCTGGCTACGTTCATGAGGCGGGGAGTTCTCATACGCAAGAGGAGGACTTACTGCGCTATGATAGAGGGCATAACAGATGGGTAATCACCAGTGATTCTGGTGATCCAACTACTCCCAACAGGTATCCCATGGAGTTTATCCAGGTAAAGAAAAGTGTGGATGTGGTATAATGCCAGTCGAGTTCAATGATGGCAGCTGCTATGTGAGGTGAGCGATTATTCAAAAATGAAGTTCTGTGTGGCTTTACTATCCCAGACACACAGTTCCGATATGTTTATAGTCAAGCAAGTCTCGCATCATTTAATTAGAGCTACCAAGCTGCTACTATATTTCAGAATCGCATACCAGCCAATATCCCGCAATGACTTGTTACCGAAACAACAAAAAGGCAGGTGTAGATGCTACTTTTCGATGAGAATCAGGACGTCGCTTTAGAGTAAATAGGGCAATGTTGCCAGTTTGTATTACACTCAACCACTCTGCGGGAGTATCATTGAATCTGTGAGTAATCAACGATCTCTGCAAATGTAGATATCTTTCTGTACGGAGTTCAAGGCTTCTTCTGCTATGAAAGTGTTTAATGGCTGGTTAGCAAGCTGGCATTAGCGTTACAATGTGGTCTCCGTGCTATTGAAATTCTAACCTGGTTGCTTAGAAATTTCTTTGGATTCTTTATAAATTATCAAATAATAAAAATAACTAAAAATAGAATATTTAAAATAAAATAAAATAAATTTTATTTTTATAAATATAAAGTATTTTTTTTATAAAATTTATTTTAAATAATTTAATAGATATTTATTATTTAATATCCTTATAATTTTTAGTACTTTTAAATTATCTTTATTATTTAAAAAATAATAAGATATAAATCATAAGATATATATTTATAAAAAATAATTATTCAAATTTTATATATTCTTCTATAACTAAGGGTATAGCTGAAAGTTTTATTCTTCAGGCGAGAGGCTGGGTAGGCTTGCCCAAGAATATAAATCCACCCCAAATCCCCCGTATTTTCAATACATCGAAAATGGTTGACAAAAGGGACAGTATCATCGAAGTGGTAACTGACATAGGTCGCCCCCAAATCCTTTGCGGCTTCCGGCGAAGATTATTACACGCAATCACTATCCGTGTCAACGCTACCATCGTCACGACACAGCCGAAAGCTGTGCCCCGGGGGAGGGGGGTCCGTCGATCCGTGTGAGCACCCCCTGTTCTAGATCGGATGGGGGACTGTCAACCTTAGTTTCTCCATCTTGGCGCTCATTTAGACTTTGCATGGGTGTCGGAGACCGAGTGGGCCGAAATTTACAGTGACTTTGCATTGAGGGCAGTCCATTGGGGGCGATGCAATTATCAGCTCATTCTCCTCACATCTGTTGTGCACTCAGCTCCTAAACTTCTTTTGTCTCAGGACTTCATGTTCCAATGATATGCTTCGCTTGAGGAAAAGGGGAGAAAGCTAGCAGCCCTGCCGTGGCCTCGCATAAGAGAGTGTTGAGGGGGATGCGGTCAGCCTTTTGTCTTACCCGCAGGCGAAGGATTCGTAGAAGTGCCGTGGCTTGCTGACAAGGTCCTTTTGGAAGGTGATTGTGCACGGGCCATAACCAAAGTACCTACCGACCTAACGCGTCACTCAGTGTCGCTGTTGGCTCGACGTGTCTTACCGGGTCGCATATTGGGCCGTCTCCTTTCTCCTCTCCTCCTCTTCTGTCCTAGCTTTCTGTCAGTTCTTAGCTCTTACTTCTGATTGTCAAAGTATTATTCTGAGTAAGTTCGGTCATTCAGAAAGCCGAATCAAGCAAGATTTTCTCGCTGACGGAGCTTAGGAAACCTCGGTGCTTCTCCATCTTCTTGCCGAACACCTCGTCGAACCTGCATACAGAAGGCGGCCGACCACCATGGCGGATTTCCAATCTTGGGATGCACTCTCGGCCAAGCTTCAGGCTCATGTGTATGCAGCGACTTTGCCTACTCTCCTGACTCTCGTGATATGTCTTGTACGTATACCTTGAACCCCATTCCATGATCACGGGACGAAGTTGACTGTGGATTCCGTACAGGTCTCTTCCTACGCTATTCTTCGTTGCATTTACTTTTCATACTTGCACCCATTATCTCATTTCCCCGGGCCCCGGATCGCTGCAGTGTCCAATACTTGGTATGCCTATCATTGGTAAGTTAACATATCTACTGGCACTGCTGTTGAAGTACAATTTTGGGTGGAATTTAATTGTCCTCAGGTTCTCTGGAAGATGGCCATGGGTCATGGAAGACGTTTTGCGTGAGTACGGCGATGTCGTACGCATCGCACCAAATGAGCTCGTCTTCTTCACCCCAAAGGCATTTCATGGTAAGGGGATTTCCTTTCTCATCGTATTCGCTCATCTCCATAATGACATCGCTAAATCCACGTCTTGGTAGACATATATGCGCCGCAACACAAGGGCCTCGAAACGTGGGTAAAGACGAATTTCCAAAATAGAGGAAAGGACCTCGGCGGTATCGTCTGGGAAGAGGATCCTATTCGACACCGCGAGGTAGCCAGGAAGCTTTCACCCGCTTTTAGTTCTCAGAATTCCCGCGCAATGGATCCAGTGGTCGAGAAACATGTCACCCATTTCATTGAGAGGATGAAAGAGTTGGGCTCCGTTACTGAGGGTGTGAGCCTTATTGATTGGTCCAATTGGTATTATATGGACCTCTCGGCGGATTTGGTATGGAATGAGGAAACGCACCAGATGCGAGACAGTAAGTTGCTTTCCTGCTATTGCTACGCCACCTCCCATAAATTACCGTAGATTGGTATACTGACAATCATGATAGGGAAAAGTTCCGTCTATCTTGACGTCCTACTTGGTTTCAATGCCTTTGCCACCGTGATGCAAGTGTTCAAACGTTTTCCACTCATCAAGCCGATGCAGTATCTGTTTGTCCCTCTGTCCAAGCTATCAAGCCTAGGCCAAGTCAAGAAAATGACCAAGCAGGCGGTAGAGAGACGTATTGAGAGAAGAGGCAAGCTTCATCATGGCGATTACTTCGAATTTATTTTACCAGATCCCGAACCACTGCCATCAAACAGGCGTGAACAGTATCTCATCGGTTCTCTTGGTCTGCAACTACTATTTACCAGCTTCGGCCCGATGTCTGACTGGCTTTACGGCATAATCGTCTTTCTCACAGAGGAACCTGAGTGTTATAAGGAGTTTGTGGCAGAGATACGGGGGCACTTCAACAGTCTAGATGAGATCACGCCAGAGGCACTGACTTCTCTGCCCTACTTGCATGCGGCATTGGAAGAATCGCTACGTCTTCTTCCCAGCAACAGTACAGGATTACCCCGTTTCAGTCCTGGTGGCACAGTCGACGGACATTACATTCCTAAGGGGGTATGTTACCGACTGCTCTTGTCTTTTTTTCTTTTCTTTTGTGCTGCTTTTGTTGACAAAGCGACTTACTTCACAGACCCATGTTCAAACCAGTGTCTTCGCCAATGGCCGTAGCCCTCGTTTCTTTCACGAGCCATTGAAGTTTAGACCCCAGCGATGGTTGCCGTCTTCTCACCCGCTATACGACAAGGCTTTTGAAGACGATAATCTTAAGGGACTTTACCCATTTAACCTAGGCCCGCGGGTGTGCCTCGGCCGCCAAACGGCGTGGCGACAGGGAAAACTTTCCATTGCCAAAGTTTTGTGGTTCTTTGACATAGTGAGAGTGCCGGGCCAAGACTTTGACTTGGAGAGGGATCTACTTCACTATGGGTTTTTGGAAAAGCCTGATCTTAAAGTGAGATTTCTCCCTGTGCAAAGGTAGGCATGGAGTGAGCAAGTACTTAAATGTGGCAGATTTTGCGAGCTAAAGGGGAACCAACATTATATTGGTACGGTATAGGGGTAATCATGTAACTTATTCGAACAGTGGGTGTGGTCTTCTCTGCGTTAATAGATATATCCTAAGTACGGTGCACGACTTTGAAGGGAATGACTGGTAGTGCTAGCCCACCGGACGAAAACCAAACATAGTCGCTCTGTTTCTATGCTACGCCATTCCCTACGATAATCGTACAAGAGCTTCGCGACCGCTACTGAGTAGTTGTTCATTGCTACAGGTGTCTACTGGTACCGCTGTCCCTGCGGCCTTTATCACATGGCCAGTTGCACCGCATAGAAAATAAGCATGCATTCTGTTGCACTTCAATCCGAGCGGTGTCTATCCGAGACCTCTCCTTCCGCTGGCCCTTCTTCTGGGTCCGCCGCCCGCGTGCTCTTTTTCTCTTTCAGTCCGTAGTCAGTCACCAGCTCCGTCCTTAACACGACATCCCTCTCAAAGAGACACAAGAGAAGCGCGAATCCGACGAAAGCAAGGGAAACTAGTTGAACGCGTTGGTACGCGAGGCGGTACACGGCCCGAATTTCCACCTGGTCAGTCGCGGGAAAACTCTCCACGAACTGCGCAGACGCAAATTCGTACGCTCCACCGCCTACGAGCGCTTCGGCAGCCAGGGGGTTGGAGATGGCCCCGCCGCCGTGGATGAGCCCATCGACGCGGTTAGCAAAGATGGCGGCCGGGATTGCGACGCCCCAAACTCCGCCGAGAGTCCGGATGAAGTTCCAGCTCGCGGTCGCGGCAGCCTGGTCGGCTTCTGAGGCGGGGGCCTGGAAGGCGGGGAGCTGCGTGTTCAGAAGGATGCCGCCTCCGATGGGGCCTACGAATATGTACCCGACGAACTCTGCCGTGGTGGAATCTTCATCTAGGCGTGAAAAGAGACCTTGGCCGAGTGTGAAGAGCGCAAGGCCGATGATGTGGATGAGCTTGGACTTTCCCCATCGAGTTACGGCGGCAGCAGCCGCAGCAGCCGCAGGCACGCCGAGTAGGGACACGGGAATGAGGTTGACGCCCGCTCGTGTCGGAGAGGTAAGAGCCACTGTTTGGAAATAGACGGGGAGAAAGAACAGGGTCCAGTACAAGACAGCGGTGAAAAGGAAAGTGTTTATGGCGATGATGACGGAGGTCCTATTGTTGAATAACCGAGGGGGCATCACGGGCTCGAGAGGTGCGAAGCGACTATTTTCAAAGGCGCCGAAGAGAAGAAATCCTGCAAAGCCAACAAGTAATGGAACCAGCGTGTTCCAGGACGACCAAGGATGGCGGGTGCCGGCATAGGTCAAGGCAATCAACATAGACACGGAGCTGCCTATTAGGATGAGATTCCCTATCATATCGATGCGCATCAGTCGGCTCTTTGCAGCCCCTTCGCTGCGGTAGTTCAGATGCAGGTAAAAATACATGACGGCGAGGGACACGGCTCCAACGGGTAGGTTGATGTAGAACACCCAACGCCATGTAGTCTTATCCACGATGACTCCGCCAACAAGAGGTCCGAGAGTTAAACCGATGCTGTAGATGAGTAAAATTACCGCGATATAGTTTCCACGATAGCGCAAGGGGACCAAGTCAGAGACAATTGTATCTAGAGAGGACTGTTAGGCCTTGAGAACTCATCTGGTGCCAATGACGACAATGGAGGTTGAGTGCACATACCGTAGGCCATGAGGATTCCGCCAGAGCCAATGCCCTGCACGGCACGACCTGCAAGAAGCATGGCGGTGTTTGTTGCTACTCCACAGATGGTGCTGCCGACAATGAAGATGACAATCACGCCAATTGTCGTCCATCGACGACCGTAAAGATTTGTAAGCTGGCCAAGCAGAGGTTGAAAAGCAGCGCTAGCGAGAAAGAAGGCGTTGGTGAGCCAGATCCAGTCATCTCCCAGTGGAATTTCCGCCAGAATGCTGGGTGCCGACGTCACCAAGACTGAATTCTCTAGGGCAGCGAGCAATAGCATGACGCCGAGGCCGACGATGATGGCCCAGAAACTGAAGCTGCGTCGGATGGTGTCGAAATCGGTAATGGCAGTCTGTTCGCGGACAGGCTCCTCCTGCTGTGACATTTCTGGTGCGGCAGAATTGTCACTGCTAAGAGCGTTATGTGATACTGGGGGAGATTTCATTTTGATTGCTGCTTAAGAACAGCGCGCTCAGAGTCCGGTAAAAAACTTAGATCAAATCAGCCTACTTATTTGGAACAGCTGGCTGAGAATGAGAGATTGTCTGCTCCTCCTGACTACAATTACCTAGGTACAGATTCTATACTACAGCATTGATATAAGACATTTCGGGGGCGGTTACAGCCAACAGCAACACTCACAAAGTCCCAATCACTGACGAGTGAGAATCAATTTCTTTTGTTGGGGGCTAATGCAGATCCCACTGTTTGGCATTCAGCTCACCTGCTTCAATTATACGTTCACACCCCAACGAGGCATCCATCTAGCATCGGCATTACTTACTAGTCACACGGAAGCAATAAGGCAGAGAGGCCCCCAAAAGCGGCACAAATAACTGTATGCATGTAATCCTCCATTAGGGAAGGGGCAGCTTACATCCGACACAAGTTCTCTGCATGAAAGTAAGTAACTCCGGGTATATCTCGCTCCTCGTGTCCCCTCTCTAGGAGGTTACAGCTAATTAGACAAAGACCTGGATGTACCACGCTCGGTCTCTGATTCCACAATAACATTATTCTTGGTTATCAGAAGCATTATCCCCAGACTTTCAATACTTTGTTTATCATGGAGAGTTCATCTCCTCCCCTAGCCACTATGCGGCGCGCAATTACCGAAAAGGATGACGGCAAGCCACAGCTTGTTGATATTCCCATGCCACGTCTAGGACCCGATCAAGTCCATATCAAGCCTGTGGCCATGGGTCTCAACCCCAGCGATTTCAAGATGGGTACAGCATTTCCCCGCCCCGGAGCCGTCATCGGACAAGACATGGCCGGCACCATTATTGCGGCTGGTGAGAATGCCCCCTTCACCCCGGGAGACCTCGTATGGGGAGGTGCCTCAGGGTGCATCTCGTCGAACCCAGAGTACGGTTCCTTCTCCACGCATGTTTGTGCCCCCGCGTTGCTTGTGCGGCGTCTCGATCCCCAGATTGATCCCGTCGAAGCCTCCACGTTGTCAACCGCACTTGCTACCAGCGCCTTGGCCTTTTGGACCCCCGACGCCCTTGATCTGACGCCCATCACGCCGGAGAATCCGTCAAAGGACCCTTTCAAGGTTCTCGTGTACGGCGGCAGCACGGCCAGTGGAACCATCGCCATCCAACTTCTCCGGTTGTGCGGCCTTGACCCCATAGCGACCTGTTCGCCGCACAACTTTGATCTCGTCCGATCTTATGGGGCCAGCGCCATATTTGACTATGCCGATCCCGCCACGCCCGCCGCGATCAAGGCACATACCGGAGGACAGCTCAAACATGTCCTGGATTGCATCTCTGATGCCCACAGTGTGGAGACGTGCTTCAGTGCCATGGCGCGTGTCGGTGGTCGGTACGTGAGCCTCGAGGTTGTACCGGAAGAGCTACTGGCGCGACGACGTGCCGTTCGTGCCTGTTTTGTGTCGGCGTACGGAATCGCAGGGGACGCGATGGATCTGCCAGGCGCCTACGGTATGGAAGCCGATCCGTCCAAGCGGGAGATGGGGAAATGGGCGTTTGACATGTTCGAACGACTTGTCAATACGCGGAAGATCCGTACCCATCCCGTCGAGCGGTTAGAGGGCGGACTGGCCGCTATTATTCCAGGCTTAGCGAAGCTGCAGTCTGGTAGCGTGAGTGGGAAAAAGCTGGTCGCTATCATGTAAAGATTGGCGATGATGTAGGCCATTGTTCGAACCCGGGTTATTGTCCGTTGTAGAGATAGTTTAGGGTACTTGGCTGGGTATCCTTAGGTAGGTAGTTGACGGCGACTTGTAGCCATTGAGGTAAAGCTGGCTTCGGGAGCCGAGGATGTTGGTTGTTGAACTGAAGGTTTCGTTTCTGCTATAACTCTGGGTATCGAGTCACTCGAAGGGTGTTTCAAGGGAATATTGCCATCCTGATATTCATTGTGTTGAAAATTCGGGTCTGGCATCTTCTATTATATGTTGTTTTTCACTTTATCTCAAACTCTCTTCCCTATTGCCATCCCGAAACCATAAGAAGCCAGTGGCATGTTGACTTTTCCTTCTCAAATTGCTGTATATGCATGCTTCTATACTTCAAAAGAACTCTAGGTATTACCACTGTTAACAACCATTGCTACGCTCCCTATGCACATCCCAAAATAACACCGATCGGGGTTCCAAAAATCATATACCTGAGTTTCCGTTCCATATTACCTTCGGGCTTAGAACTTTTCGTCTGGTTATAGCTCCGAGGTATTGATAAAGCCAGGGCTGGTGGGACTGTTGGCTAGATCTTAGCACATGCAGATTCATCGCTGCAGTTCTAGTCGATGCGAATAATTAGGTAGCTACGTAGAAGAGAAAGTCTTCGCAGTTCCCTAGTATAAACAGCCCTTGCCGAGGTGTAATTTGGTCAACGTTCAACTCTTGACTAGGACACAGTGCACGGAACTCTAACGGCCATGTCTACAACTTTCACTACCGACGAATATTCAAACTGCTCTCGGAATATATTTTCTGTAATAGGAGGTCCAACTAAGAAAAAGAAAGAATTCTATGTTTGAAACCCTCAGGTGATGGTTACATTCCCTGCGAACAGTCACGTGCATGCAATCTCGTGTAAATTATTTCCCCCTTAACACCTGCTCAGGCTAAATTGCAAACAAATATGGCACCTACTTCCTCTCCTAAAGTCAATAATTACTCGAGGATTGAAAAGCGCCTGGAAATGCCTCAATATGCTAAGGACAATCTTATATCACCTCGATCCTCCACCCCCAACAACTATCAGAAGAGAGATGGCCTGTCAAGATGCGTGACACGTGACAATGGACACCAATCCGAAATCCCATTTGACGCTCATTCAGATAGCGGACAGTGCAACACATCCACTAATGCTGAGATAAATGCCGCTGATATAATCGAACCATACGCCGAAGGATCCTTTCGGTACGTCGCTCCGGGCACATACACCTCAGGCCCACGCAAGGGCGAGCCATGTGTATTAAAGTGGTTCAAAACGGGAGTGGTCTTCGAGCCTGATTACTTCACCCTCGACATCAGGGCCGTGGATAAGGCTCTGGAGATTGTGTACCAGTTCAACAACCTGAATGTGACCCACAAGACCATCAGGATCAATGTACCAGAGGTGTGGTTTGTCGAGCCCTCAAACCACCCCCATTTGTCAGGCTGGAAGGGCGCAAGGATGTTGTGCGAGCCCTTTATCGATAATTACGAAAAGTTCAATAGCAACTCTGGGTGGTATGACGTATCGGAGACCTGGGGGGAGGTGATGCAGGCCCTGAGCCACTTCAGCTACCATATCTCTGATGGCTCCTTTGTTCTCTGTGATCTGCAGGGCGGCGTCTATAGACGCGAAATCGTTCTCTCCGACCCCGTTATTCTGTCACGGAAACGGGAGTATGGAGTGACCGATCTTGGACCGGAGGGGATCAGCTCCTTTTTCTACCAACATAATTGCAACAGCTTTTGCAGCCCACAGTGGAAGCGGCCCTTGGACCCCCTTCTTTTCTTTTCCCCAAGGATGGGCACATCCATGATGAAGCACTCAGACCCTATGGTATGCACTCGACGCAAGAAAGGACGAGTCATTACTTAAGTAAATCACCCAAAGGTTGGTACTCTCTCCCGCCTATTTAGTTGCAGTAGTTCTCAAGCGAGAAATTGCTACATCCTTGCTCGTTTCAGTTGACAGGAGACAACTAATTGTTTTAGTAGTAGTTTAATCCTGATTCCAAAGCCTACCACTTACAAGGTTTATGAGCAAGTGCGTACTCAAAATGCCGGTTATCTTGAATCTTTCATGTTCTAAGTCTTGGTAGAAGGGTAGGCACTGCTTATGGCATTGAGAATAAAGCCACTCCATAGTTAAGAAGCTATTGGGTAATACATCCTACAGGGTCTGAAATGTAATGACCTTATATGACATATCTCCACTCCGTGGTTTGTTTGTTTAGCAACAGGGAACAAGGTTAAAGATAGTTGACAATTTAATTCACGAAGTAGAAATTAATTCAACCTCTCATCAACCGCCGGGCACAGAATAAGCCAGTGTCGTGAAAGCAGCAAAGCCTCCACAACATTTGGCACTGGAGAGGCCAGTGGCCTGTTCTTGGAACTAACTCATAAGTTCGTAATTCGAAAACAGAGCATAACGCAGTAAAATTTGTCTAAGATAGAGTGGCAGCTTTACGAGGATTGTTGAAGTTCATCTTTATTATCGTTTACTCGGAAATAGAAGTCTCATCAAATGGGTATCAGTCCCTAATTTACCTGAAACTTCGCGGTGAGGTTGAACACTGCCTCAAACAGCTCGTTCCTCGCTCCAACTAAGTGTTTCCTCTGCCTCCTATTTCATTTTAACAGGGACCCCTCTAGCTATATCTAACTAAGGTTGTTCCCACAAGCCCCAAGGCGAAAGTGTTAAAAACGTGCAGCCAGACTGTATCCACGGGTTTCCAGTGGGTAAGTAGCACGTATGTATCAGCAATGCCAGTGCACATCCAGCAGATCAGAAACGTGCCCAGAGCTCTGCGCTGGCCAGTAAAAGTCATAGCCCACACTGCGAGGCCGGCTGATATATTTCGGCCGCCGATTCCAGGGTAAAAGACGGCCATGTCGCGAGTAACATCGATGACACCGAAAGCACGGCCCATCTTTGCTGGGGATACAACGCCGTAAAGGCCGCTGCCGACCAGTAAGGTGCCGATGGCGCCAGTGATGATATCGAGGTGAGACCGAAATGACATCTTATTCGGTAGAGGAATCTTCTTCTAACTGACTTCTTTGATCAGATTTTGCTAGTTGGAAGATGTGGTTTAACTTCTGGATTTCCTTCGTCTTGGCAGTCGGGTGCTTGGCGAGGGTAGTAGAGAATGTTTCAAATTGACGCTTGAGAGTTTGTCTTGGGAGCTGATCTCAGCGATCTATTCAATTGAAAAAGCCTTCTTTATTTTATATTAATGTTAAAAGGATGTTCGCACTTTCATCAAATTCCAAAGTCCGATCACTATGGAAATCCGAACTCCGGACCATCAGTGCGGAGCTTACGGATTTAACTGATGCATGAAATGTTAAGGGCAAACTACCCTATATCATAAATATTCCTTCTCTGTTTAAAGAAAAACAAACCTGTGATGTTTCCAGACTACTTCTGAAGAGGCATCACAATATTCAATTGTACTTTTCATTGTGGTTCAGATTTTTTTTAAAAAGGCAGCATTAATAAAGTTGACCTTGTAACGCGGCTTTAACTCGTAGCGATCTGTTCCAAGTTGACTTGTTCTCCCAAAACGTATGTAACGTATTTGTATTCGAGGCTTGAGAAATGTAATCCGAGGCTAACTACAGCCAGTCCCTCAAAATGGTTGATGAGCTGGGGGAGATTCAGCATCATCGATAACAAGGAAAAGAAGCTTTCGCAGTATCTTTTCCTCTTCATCATCCTTCTGACGATGTCTATCTGACTTTTCCATCTTCTTCTGATATTTATGTTCAATTTTGTCTTGTTTCCGTGCTTGCTTGGACAAATTCTCATGAGACTTCCTTTTGGATAGCAACTTTCGCATCTCCTTGTCATACTTGTCCTGTGCTTTAGCAGTGTCCTTGCTCCGATCATCTGTCAACTTGGTTCGGCTTTTCATCATCTTCTCCTCTTCTCGGCTCCTCTGCTTTTCGCTGACCACGGCATGCATTCGGCTCAGAGGGTTAGTAGGTTTTTCAACGGGAGGAATAGACTCAATATCTAGCGGTGCGATCCACGGTCCCAAGGCCGCTATGCGGCGCTCTTGCACCCCGATGATAGAGCCTCCCATGCCCTGGACAGGTGGCAGTATGTTGGACTTGTTATCAATATTACCGTCGACGTCCAATATCGGTATTTTGGCCACCCGGGCAAGAGCATCGAGTTTGGCGATGTAGGCCTTAAGGCCACGGGGGTTGAATATCTCATGATTGGCCTGGCGAAGAACCATTTCTGTCCTCCCCTTGGACACGACGACCGTCGTCAACGTGGCCGCCGTGTTGACGGCGGTACCCACGATCTGGGCGGTGGCGAGTGGGACCATGCCCACGAGGTTACCAACCAGCCCGACGACCTGGACTGGGGGGCTTGCAACGGAGGCGCGGTTGAGCTGATCGATGAATCCGAGGAATAGGTTCTTGGAAACATGGACGTGTCCCAGGGAAGGAGGATATGCCCTGAGAAAGGGAGAACCCAACTTAGCTGTGGTTGCAGGGATGGCAATGATTTTTCTTGGGTCTGACTCGGACAGTGATATTCTCGGGGTTGATATGGCGGCTGGAAGAGGACTCGATGTCTTGGCTTGTTGGAAAGGCGGCATGGGGTTTCTTGATGCTATAGCTGGCACGACCAAACCTGGGATGGGCAAGGATGAGTCTGAGTGTTGAAATCGTTGATATGGAGGCGGAATGGCATTCAAGTCTCCGTCATCAGAGGTGAGTGTCTCAGACGAAGCAGATATAGATTCTTGGCGAGAGCTGATAGATTCAATGGACCGGGAAAGAGGTTCATATTTCCCATCGTCTTTTGAGTGGTCACGTAGATATGTCATTCTGGTTGGATGATGATTTTCAGACAGATTTTTTTTTTTTTTGAAAAATATAGATTGGATATATTAGTCTTCGTTAATTATCTAAGATCCAAGGGTTTTATAGGAAATTTTCTCGTAAATTGTCTGGACATCATCTGTTCATCATCTGCTTGCCAGTCATATATTGAGCATCCAGTCCTGAATCAACCATAAACTCACCTCGCACTGGCCTTCGATTTCGGGTTTAGCGTAAGATCTTAGCTTGAAGCTCTTGACGCGCGTTACTGTTCTCGGAAGGCTGGCGCGAGGTTGGAAGAATAATAAGCAAAAGGCCCCTGATAGCTACTTAGGGGGCCTAAATCCGCCGGCCCCCCTACCTACAGTAGGGGGGGTCAGTAACTAGCGAAAAAGATAGCAACTCGTAAAAAAATAAGTAACCTAGTACGTCTGCTAATTTAGGAGGTAGTATAGATACTAATATTTAAATAAATATCCCTCTTTTACTATAATCTACTCTATTATACTATATAATATAGTCTATCTTATTATAATACTAAGCTACTATATTATAACTATTTATCCTATATTTTAATAAGTATCTCTTCTAATACTAAAGCTTTAGATTTACTTTCTTTAAAGCTAAATATACTAATTCTACCTATTTTCTATAATAGTATTCTTTTCTTTATTTATAGTTACTTTTCTTTATAATAACTAGTTTAATTATAATAGTAATATAGAATTTATTATAGATTATTAGCTATATAAATAACTCTAACTATTATAGTTAATAAGCTAACTACTTATATAATTAATAATTTAAAGTATATATTTAATTTATTAACTCTATTAAATTAAGAAAGATATATTTATCTTATTTATAAAATTATAGTTAAAAGATAAAATTATTTTCTAAAAAGCTTATATTATTAGAATTAAGAATTTTTAATTCCTTATAATCTATTTTTATTATATCTTTTTAAATAAAGCCTCTAATAATATAAAGCTAATACTATAGAAAAACCTCTTTATTATAAATAGCTTTCTATTTAATTTATTAAGCTTTATTTTCCTATATAATATAGTAATTATAATTATTTATTACTATATAGCTTTAAGTATTATTAATAGAGATTAGACTGAATCTAGTTATAATATATCTCTTATTATATAGCTTTTATCTAGTTAATATCTTCTTTTTATAATAATAAAGCTTATTAGAAGCTATAATACTATTTAGCTTAAGAGTTTAGTTAATTTTATAGATTTTATTATAGATTTATAATACTAAAGATATTAGTAATAAATCTGAGCTAATTAAGAGTTTAATTTAAAGTTAAATATACTAATAATATTACTTAATTATAAGAATACTAAGGGTTAATATTAAGATCTCTTTTTATTTATAATATAGTATTCTTTATAGTATTATAATACTAGCTAGCTATTATATATTTAGCTATAATTCTTCTAAATCTAAACTTTCTAATAAGAAAGAATCTTTATTAGATAAAGAATTCTTATCTTTATCTCTAACTTTATCTCTAACTTTAATTAAGCCTGGAAGTATAGCTTTATTTATATTTAGAATTAATAATAATAGAGAGTTCTAGAGTATATCTAATATAATAAATAGATTATATTATACTCAGAAGTAACTATCTTAGTCTTCTATATATAATCTCTTATTATTAAGTTATCTAGATTATCTAGATAGCTATAATCCAGCTAATATACAGCTACTAGGCTGCTTATCTAAGCAGGGTTCAGCTAATAGCTAGCTGATTCCTACTAGGACCCTTTTAACTATAATAAGTACCGCCTTTTAAGAGAAAAAAGCTACTACCCCTAGTAGCCGGACTAGCTCTTTATCCGAAGATAAAGCAGCTATCCGAGAGAAAAGAAAAGAGAAAACAGACAGGCTAGCTAGGCCTGATAAAGATATCTAAAAGAGAAGGAATTTATAGATAAGCAGGTTATATAAATATAAAGAAAGTATCTGATAAAGGAGAGGTTTAAAGATAGGTTTTTTATATAGGTATAATATAGCTATCTGATAAAGATAAAGATTATAGATAGGCTCTTTATATAAGAGCGATATAGCTATCTGATAAAGATAAAGATTATAGATAGGCTCTTTATATAAGAGTAATATAGCTATCTAATAAGAAGGGAAAAGTCAGACAGGCTCTTTATATAAAAGCAGTTAGGTTATTTATTAAGGCTATTTATTATTATTATAGCTATAGTTATCTTTATAATTATTATAGTTATTATTATTACTATAGCTATTATTACTATAGTTATTATTACTATAGCTATTATTACTATAGCTGTTATTACTATAGCTATTATTAGGATCCTATTTATTATAGCTATAATCAGGGCCTTAATAATTATAACTATAAGGATTATTATAATAATTAATAGGCTGATAATTATAGCTATATTTATTAAAGCCTCTAATTAGAACCTGATTATATTCTTATAGATCTTAGCTAATATAATTAATACTTAGTTAGTCTAATTAGTAGCTATTAAAGTATATAACTGAAGGCTGATTATATTCTTAATAAACTTAGCTATTATAATTAAAGTTAGAACTATTAGGTCTATAGCCTTTAAAGCTATTAACCTGGCTTTAATTATATTCTAATTAGTCTTAGTTAGTATAATTAAAGTCAGGTTCTTTAGTCTTATAGTCTTTAAAGCTAGGAATAGAATCTTAATTATATCCTTAAAGCTCTTAGCTTTTAAATAGCTAAAAGTATTCTTTCTTTATTCTACTATACTACTCAGCTAAATTAATATTAGTAATAGAGCTTTAATTATATCCCTATAGATAATAGTTATTATAATTAATATTAGATTAGTTAGACTTATAGCTTTTAAAGCTAGTAATAGGGTTTTAATTATATTCTTAGGGATCTTAGCTATTATAATTAGGATTAGATCTATTAGATCTATAGTCTCTGAATATACTAATATAGATCTAATTATATTCTTACAGATTATAGCTATTATAATTAATACTAGATTTATTAGACTGATTAACTTTAAAGTTAGTAATAGAACTTTAATTATATTCCTATTAATCTCAGCTATTATAATTAATATCAGGACCTTCTGATCTATAGTCTTTAAAGCTATTAACTAACTATTAATTATATTTATATAGCTAATAGCTATTATAATTAATATCAGGACTATTAGATCTATAGTCTTTAAAGCTATTAACTAACTATTAATTAGATTTCTAATTAGTATAATTATTATAATTAATATTAGAACTATTAGATCTATAGCCTTTAAAGCTAGTAACTAATTATTAATTATATCTATAAGGATAATAGTTATATAATAGTTAGGTTAACTTATACTGAACAGGGGTCTAGGGTAAGTTAGAGTTAAACTAATTAGAGTATTATTCTGAGTAGTATAATTAGATTATCTTAGGCTGTATAATATAAATTACTATTAATATATAAGTATTATAGAGCTAGTAGTAATAAATATATAGATAATTATATTAATAACTATCTAAGAAAGTATTCTATTTAATAAAGTAAATATATATATATACTAGAGGATTATTAAGGCTTAATAATAATCTATTATTCTGGATTATTAGAATTATTATAAAATCCTAATAATTTACTAGTAATTAGTTAGAAAAAGTAGAGTAATCTATATAACTTTAATATATAATAATATAATTTATAATATAAGATTCTCTCTTTATTAGTTATATCCTTAAGATTATATTCTGCAGCTTATTAGTAAGTCTTTTCTAATTTAATTCTATATTCCCCTTATAGTTTATAATAATATCTAACTATATATAGAAAACTTCTTATAAGAAAACCCTTTAATATAATACTCTTATTAATACTATCTTACTAAATCCTTTAGTAATATAATTAGAGTATAACTATTATAAATTCTATAGTTATAAATACTTTAGATTAGAGGGTTTTTTATCTTATTATTTTTACTATATTAAAAATAATTAGCTATATTATAATACTTAGAGCCTTATACTAGATTAGCTGAGATATATTACTAATTAGTATAGTAAACTGAAGTTCAAACTAGAAGCTATAGAGAAGGAGTATTATTATATAGATATAAAAATCTAATATCTTTATTAATAAAAGAAATTATAGTTAGATAAGATAATATAGATAGTATCTTATAGTATTAATAGTATAGAGGAACTAGAGTATATTAAGTAAAAGAAGATAGAGAAGATAGTTTAAAAATAGATCTTATCTCTAGCTATATCTTTATCTGAGCTTATATTCTTAGAGATTAAGATTAATCTAGTATTTCTTTAGAAGAGTATAGAACTATCTTTTTCTTAGTTTATTAGAATAGATATTTCTAGTTCTAGTAATATTATTAAATAAGCTTCTAATAATTCTTTAAATACTTAATAGATTCCTAAGTATTATTATTATTAGTATATTCTTTCTATTTTACTAAATAAAAGGTTTATCTATTTCTAACTTCTTTCTTTAGAATTTTTTCTAATTTAAATTCTTCTTTATAAATTTTAATTAGATAATCTTAATCTAGTATATTCTTTAATACTTTTTTAAGTAATAAGATATAAAAAATTAGATAGATATATATTATATCTAGTAATAAAAGTTTATAATTAATATCTAATTTTTTCTTAAGAACTTTAAATAGTTTAAGTTTTTTATAGTTTAATTTATTACTTAGTTTTATTATTATAATATTTTTATAGAGTAGATAGATCTTATCTTCCTTCTTTAGGATTAGTT